ATTAACCAACGGTAGTTGATAAAATACTGCTACTTGGTCAGTCATTTTGCTGTGAGAATCATAGATCTAGTAAATGAATCCATGAATTCACACTACGGTGGCTCTCTTGGGTAATAGCTCCTGACCCACTGAGGTCCAGGTATCAGAGTATCTTTGGAATCCAGGCAACAGGTGGAATCTTGTACATGTTATTCAGGCCGTACCACTGCTGTAGAGAGCGCACTTCCATTTCTAGGGCTACCAATTTAGCATCCTTCATCAGCAAGACATTTGCCCACACACCTCCAAAAGAAAATTTTTTAAGCCTGAGATTAAAATTGCTCACTAATTTCTTCTGTTCAGATAAATACTTGCTTTGAGATTATTGGCAGTAAAACTCAATCTATTTAATATTAACGGGTGGAATAGTTTTCAGCTATTTACTCCCGAGGTTCCCCTATAGCGAGGCTACATCTGTAAAGATCCAGGTGTGCAATATTGCATTGGGTCTCCCCGACCTTCGTGTGGCTTTAGTTGTAGTCCGATTTTTACAAGGGAGCTTCTGTTCCTTTATGTGACTACGAAAATCTTAACATGCATGGACTGCTAGGAGATTAAGGGAATATAGGCAAATGAATACAATAAGATTAAAGATTACAGGACAAATTCCTGCCTGCAGTAAGGGTTATGTTATCACAGGACTGGAGGGATTAAACCATAGCTAATTCTATTACCAACAATAAAGGAAATGTAATGTAATGTACAGCCTTAGTGGTTTGCAAGTGATCAATAAAAAAAGGCAGATTCCCTCCAAATAAATGAGATTTGGACAGAGATCAATTTTAAAATCTCTTATTTTGGAAGTTTCCACCAATCAAATTGTTGCAGCTTGGCAGTATACTAGAAAAGGCTGAAGAAAGATGGCTTAAAATATATATGCCTGGCTACAGAAGATAGGCCAGACTAGAGGAAGGAGAGCAGGGTTTAGGACATCAGGAAGTCCAGCATTGTACGCTCTGCCACTGTGGTGCTGGGTGACTCTGGGCAAAGCCCTTCACCATCAATCACGGTGGGCAGGTGCATCAGAGAGAGAGAGAACCTCCCACAAGTCTGTCGCAGCAGAAAAGGCCTACTGGCTGTTTGGTGATGGGATGAACAGCCTTCCCCTTCTCTGTTCCTAGTGGGTGCCCACCCCCCCACTGCTGACTCCGGTCAGGCCCCGCCCTGGCACTTTCAGCAAAGAGGCCAAGGACTGAATGAACCACAGAGACTTAGGTCTGGTCTACGCTACAGAGCTACATCAGAACAACTACATTGCTCGGGGCTGTGAAAAACCCACACACCCCTGAATGATGGCATTATACTGACCTAGCCCCCAGTGTAGACAGTGCTCTGTCGGTGGGGGAGCTTCTCCCATCAACATAGCTACTGCCTCAGGGGGAGGTGGATTAACTATGCCGGCAGGAGTAGCTCTCCCAATGGCTTAGAGCGTCTTCAATAAAACGCTACAGCTGCACGGGTGCAGCATTTTAAGTGTAGCCCCAGCTCCATGGTTGCTTTAGTAGGCCTGTGTGGGGAAGTTTGCCCCATAACCATCCATGCCCCATAGACCTGATCTGGCAATAGACAGACTTCAGACTTGCTATAAATCCAACATCCCTCCCATGTGTTATATTTATGAAAGGGGTGGGGCAGAACTCACTTTGAAATTCCATTGCAGATTGTTGTTTTTATATCTCCAAATTAAGCAGGCAGTTAGTCACTGCAGCTCTGAGAGAACAACCAGCAATCTGCTGGTGGTTAAATAAAAAAAAAAAAAAAAAAAGGCAGCACAGTGAGTAAACATGACAATTGATGGCAGCATAGTGGATTGGTCTCATTGAATTACAGAGACCATTTGGAAACAGGTGCCCATGCAGTTCTCAATCAAAGGGGGAAAAAAAGTTAAATACATCAGAAGTCAGAAACCTGCCCAATAATCAGCTGGATGATTGATGGGGCTAAAGGAGCATTCAAGAAAGACAAGGCTGTTGCAGAGAAGCTAAATTAATTTTTTTGCATCAGTCTTCACTGAAGAGGACATGGGGGAAGATGGTTTAGGTGACAAATCTGAAGAACGGTCCCAAATTGAGATGTCAGTAGAGGTGGTTTTGGGAGAAATTGATAAACTAAATGGTAATAAAAGTCACCAGGACCAGATGATATTCACCCAAGAGTTCTGAAGGAACTCAGATGTGAAATTGTAGCTACTAACGGGGGTGTTCAACCTATTCCTTAAATCAGCCTCTGTACCAGAGGACTGGAGTGTAGCTAATATAATGTTGATTTTTAAAATAGGCTCCAAAGGTGATCCTGGCAACTACAGGCTGGTAAGTAACTTCAGTACAAGGCAAACTGGTTAAAACTATAACAAAGAACAGCATTATCAGACAAACAAATGAATAGGATAGGTGGGGAGGAGCTAACACAGCTTTTGTAAAGGGAAATCATGCCTCGCCAGTCTACTAGAATTCTTTGAGGGTGTCAACAAGCATGTGGACAAGGGTGATCCCATGGATATAGTACTTGGACTTTCAGAAAGCCTTTGACAAGATCCCTCACCAAAGGCTCCTAAGCAGTCATAGGATAAGAGGGAAGATCCTCTCATGGATCAGCAACTGGTTGAAAGACAGGAAACAAAGGGTAGGAATAAATATGTCAGTTTGCAGAATGGAGAGAGGTAAATACCAGTGTCCCCCAATGATCTGTATTGGGATCAGTGGTGTTCAACATATTGTGACAAAATTCCTCCTCTACCTTGGTGGGTCTTTCACTTATTGGCGGATTTACTCGCCTTGGAGCTTCACAGCAGCCCTCAGTTTGGCCGTTTTCATGAACCCACAGTCCAGGTCAACTCCTTCTGTGTCTGACCAAGAGTTGGGAGGTTTGGGGGGAACCCGGGCCCACCCTCTACTCCGGGTTCCAGCCCAGAGCCCTGTGGAATGCGGCTGTCTAGACTGCCTCCTGGAACAGCTGTGTGACAGCTACAACTCCCTGGGCTACTTCCCCATGGCCTCCTCCCAACACCTTCTTTATCCTCACCATAGGACCTTCCTCCTGGTGTCTGAAAATGCTTGTACACCTCAGTCCTCCAACAGTCCGTGTTCTCACTCTCAGCTTCTAGCGCCTCTTGCTCCTAGCTCCTCACACGCACACCACAAACTGAAGTGAGCTGCTTTTTAAACCAAGTGCCCTGATTAGCCTGCCTTAATTGATTCAAGCAGCTTCTTGATTAGAACACCTGCAGCCAATCAGCCTGTCTGTCTTAATTGTCTCCAGAAGGTTCCTGATTGTTCTGGAACCTTCTCTTGTTACTATACCCAGGGGAAAGGGACCTGCTTAACCTGGGGCTAATATATCTGCCTTCTATTACTCTCCTGTAGCCAGCTGGCCGGACCCTGTCACAATATTCATATATGATCTGGAAAAGGGGGTGAAAGTTGAGGTGGCAAAATTTGCAAACAACTATCTTGAGTAATTTTGTATTAAGTCCAAAGCTGACTGCAAAGAGTTACAAAGGGATCTCACTAAACTGGGTGACTGGGCAAGAAAATAGCAAATGAAATCCAATATCAGTAAAGTAGCCAAAAATCCAAAATGTAATGAAATCCAAAATGTAAAGTAATGCACAGAGGGAAAAAAACTATACACACAACATGATGGATTCTAAATTGGCTGTTACCACTCAAAGATCTTGGAATCATTGTGGATAGGTCTTTGAAAACATCTGTTCAGGGTTCATCTGTTCAAAAAATGAGTTACAGCTGGCAAGAAACGTTACAGATAACAGGAAGAGGGGTCTTCAAATGTGTCAGACAAAAAAGGAAAGATCAAGGACAGTGTGGGTCCACTGCTCAATGAAGGCGGCAAGCTGGTAATGGAAGACAATAGGAAGACAAAGCTGCTCAGTGCCTACTTTGCTTCAGTAGTCTCACAAAAATGTGTGACCGGACAACTAGCGAAGTTATCAGACAATAAAGGGATGGGATGCAGATAAGAATAAGTATGCCCACCCCTTTTGAAAAGGAAAGCAGCAAATATCTCCAACGGTCAGTGATGGGACACTAGATGGGGAGGGCTCTGATTTACAACAGAGAATTCTTGCCCAGGTGGCTGAGAAAGTCCCACCGGCTACATGCTCAGGGTCTAACTAATCACCATATTTGGGGTCAGGAAGGAATTTCCCCCTGGGTCAGATGGGCAGAGATCCTGGATTTTTTTTTGCCTCTCTGCAGCATGGGTCATTTGCAAGTTTAAACTAGTGTAAATGGTGGATTCTCTGTAACTTGAAGTCTTTACATAATTGTAGGACTCCACGAACTCAAACAGAGGTTAGGGGTCTATGACAGGAGTGGGTGGGTGAGGTTCTGTGGCCTGCGATGTGCAAGTCAGACTAGATGATCATGATGGTCCCTTCTAACCTTAGTCTATGTGGACTGCCTTTTTCTGTGTCTGTACAATGCCTAGAACAATGGGGTCTGGTCCGTGACTGCTGCTCCTAGGCACTACAGTACAAATTAATAACTATCCAAACTGGAATTTAGGCACGACACCAGGGTTAACATCCACCTCTACTTTTTGCCGAGTGCCATGGGCTCTTTAATGAGCCATCTGTTTTATGTCTCATTCATACCACAGCCCCTTCAGGAGCACAACAGCACCATAGCACTGTGCTGATTCAAAAGAAAACTACCACCTATTGACCCACCAATGCCAATCTATGCTGCAACAAACTACGTTTTAATGAGTCTTTGTAGTTTTGACTCAACAAATGAAGACTCTAGAGAGTACCTGCCTTCACTGATCCTGCCAAAGAGTTACGATAGGAAGTAGATTCAAGCAGTTCTCAGCAAGCAGGGGAGGCTAACGTACTGTAGGGAAAACCAGAGCCAAAAAGAGTGTGAGGTATAAAAGTCAATTGGAATAAAACCCACATCATACTAAGTAAAGCTTATAAAAAACATTAACACCGAAGCCCAAAATACCAAAACAAGTTTAATATACAGAACTAGACATTCAAACAAAAGGTACAAAGCAACAAAATGCTGTATAAAGTCACAAAATAAATCCTTGATATTTTCTTCCCCACAGTTTGCATAAGACAAAGATATGAATGACATTGTTCGTTCAGTGCACAGACCAGAACAGCGGCAGAAACCCCATTGTGAACAGTGACCTCTGGGAAAAGCTCACAGCTGTAATACAAATGACACTGCTTTTACAAAAGTCTGCAGTTTGAACAACACAGGAAAAATCAATGCTTGCTGACTCTTTCCCTCTGCCTGCTCCCAAAAGCCTGACTACTCAAACGCCTGCTACCGAGTTCTTTTTTTGCCATCCTAAACATGGTGTTTATATATTGAGGTGAGTAGCTGGAACACCTGCCATCAATCCAAGAGCACAAAAGTCAGTCTTTCATTTCTAAGCAAGCTAAATAGAGAAACTAGTAAACAAAAAACCCCTTCCCTGTGATCCCTCAGTGAAGCTTCAGACCAGGACCTGAGATGAAACACTTGTAGCTCTGGTGATTGACCTCCTCCCATTCATAGACAAAGAAAGTACAGCCATAATCATCCTGCTGGATCTCTCTGCAGCATGGATATGCAATTAGGTTACCCACCTCTTAGACATGACAGGGGTGAATGTAACCACCTTGAAACGCCTCAATTCTGTTCTCCCACACTGAACCCAGGAGTCTTTATGGGCAATTTTTCATCCCCAGAGCAGTCACCTACAGAGTCCCCAAGACTCCATTGCTCCCTATTATTCAACACCTGTCATGAAAGAATCGGTGAGACAAATGGGGATGAAGTGCTAAGCAGCTCACAGACACCCAGCTCTGCATCACCTCTCAACTTTCTCACCATGAGGATGAAGAGGAGGTGCCCAAAGCTGAACCCAGGCAAGACTAAAGCGATGCTGGTAGGAAGAGGGAAGCACTTTGAAGAACTTTAACAGCCCTCATTTTCAAGGGCACCTGCCTTGAAATTATTTCACCGCCTCAAGAGCTCCTGGGATGCTACTGGGTGCTCCAACAGTCATGGGGGCAGAACATACCTACTTCCATGTGTGACCAACCAAAAGATTTATATCTCATTACATCGGGCACACATCTGGCCGCAATAACCTCCGGGCTTGATTGAAAAACTTTTGGCTAGGTATGGAGCCACAGAGCCTAAAAAAGCTCCCACTGACACAAAACACAGGAACCCATCTGTTTGGCAACACACGTCACTGAACAGATCACCCCTATGCTCTGCTCTCTGCACTCCTTCGTCATAGAAAGGAATTTCAGTTCAAGCAGTACTTGAAATCCTCCATGGGATCGGCCTTGGCTTCCTGAGAGATTGCTACTCCCTCTGCAACCAGAATCCCCCACAATTACTACATTTCACTGAAAAATAAAGGGGTAAACAACAGGCTCATGAGTGCTGGAGGCAGAAGATTCTCAGGAGCTAGGCCTAGACCGCGGAAGCGACAAAAGAAATCCGCTACGTTAAGTCAGAGGAAGATTTTGCATTTAGATGCTGCAAACCCTACTCCCCACGGAAATTCTTCTCACAATAAAGAAAATCACCAATTTATAAATTAACCAAGCTCTCTTACAGGCTGGGAAAAATGGAAGACTTATTTTTATTTCTATTTTTAAATAGTTGGCAGATGGGAGGAACCATATAAATTGTCTAGGAGATGCTCTCATCCCACCTGACAGTGGCAGGGTCCTTGGTTAAGACACTATTTTCACCGCCTATCCACACCGCAGCAATGCAATGCACCAGAGCACGAAACCCTCAGCTCTTAGGAAACTCCAGCTAGTACAGAGCTCTGCAGCAGGTCACCTTGGCATCATGGGCTACTGCCATCACATCAAATTTAATCTCCATCCTCTACACTGACTTCCCATAGAATACTAAGTCAAGTTCAAGGTCTCAGTCCTTCTCTTCAAGGTGCTCAATGGGCTGGGCCCAGCGCTCCTATAAGACGGTTAATGTTCTTCAATAAAGACAGTGGTAAAGAGCTCTATTCCTCTGGTACAACAAAATTTTCTACCAGAAGGGTAAAGTTCATCTGTGCAGTAGGGCTGGTCTAAGACTGTGGAATAAACTCCCATAGAACTAAGGATAATCAGGAATCTCAGCACCTTCTGACTTACAATGCAAGACAACTGAGAGCTGCCTTCTGACAGAGCAGTATGTACATTTAAAAAAAAAAACTAACACGAGCACTGTACTGCATACATATTTCTCTCCTTGGAAGGGGAGAACAAATCACATGTTGCAGATTTGTGGTCACACTGCTTAATGCAGTAATGAAAGCGTTCAGATACTACAGTAATAAGCATGGTATAAGAACCCATACAGATCAGAATATCTAGATACATTATTTCCATACTCCAAGTGTATAGAGTTTGAATAGCTAAAATTGCACAACCCATTAATAATTTTATCAAAAAGCATTTTCTGTTAAAAACGTGTTTACTTCCATGATCCACCTATTGTACTGATCTTGATATGCACCCAACAAGTTATACATATGCCATATGTCCCTGATGTTCTAGTTACCTGAGATCCACTAAGCTCAACAGCTGAATTCCCTTCATAGGCTTCAAAAAGTTCTCACAACTGTCACCTTGAAGTTTTTCAAACGCACCTGTGGAGTGTAAGTCCCCACTGACTTTTCAATGGGACTTGAACTCAAATCATTTAGGCACTGTAGAAAAGCCCAACTCATATACTTAAGACCAAAGCACAATAATAGGGACAAGATGGTAGAGTACAAATGTTTGTTGCCAATGTGCTATCAGATTTTCTTAATTTAAAAACATTTTATTGATCTAGTTTTGTAAACCAAACAATGCTCGTCAGTAAAATAAACGTGTTGCGTAGAAGCATGAATGTACATTGCGTAGTCATCCTTTCATTTCCTGTCTGTGACAGCGTAGCAACGTGTACCTAATTACCCATGGAATGAGATAAAGTGGCTCTCGGTGCAGCTAGCATCATTTTGAAAGATAAACCTCAGTGCAAAGTGCTTATTTTAAGACAGCAGAACACATTAATAGTGCAATTAGCCTTTCTCCAGAGGAGCATTAGCATCATAGGGAGCTAGCAGGAGCACAGTGGGCTAGCAAAGCACAACAGCCATGGATTCGGTCAAAGTTGGCAGCAGCCAGCAGTTCTGGAGGCAGTACTGAGCTCAGAACAGATGACAGGCGAATGCAAGGAATCCCTGGCATGACACTGAAGCAAAGCTTTGGGACCATCTCTGTAAATCAATGATAGGTTCCCACAGAACCACTGTCCAACTTTCACTGGCTGGGGAGCTGTTCCTTCAAACACAGGAGAGTTGAAAGTGATTGTGTACAAATCAAAAGAGAAAGGAAAAATCCCAGGGTTTACAAAAAAGGCAAAAGTGCAAAAAGTACAGGAGTACGTGTGCTGTTACTTCAAGACGTATTGTAAGGCATTGCAGTAAGACAGAAATAGGATGTGCAGTGATTTTTCACGAAGTGAAAGTTCTTATTTGCATGACTGCCTGTTTTATGTGCAGAGACATCTAATTAAAAAACAATTCTAGCTTTATTTTCCATTGGAGCTATTAAATAAAAAAGCAAATATCAAAGTGGCTATTTAATCTGAAAAAATCAGCAGTTTCAATTGGCTTTGAACAGCAATAAAAAACGAGACTGGCTGTCCAAACCCTCACCTACCAGTCCTCAGAAATGTACAAGACAGGAGCTTCCTCTTCACTTAGTAAGAAAATATATACACATTAATTACAGTAAGTAAAAACCAATATATTCGGCACTTTTTTTAAACTTTACACGTGAGAAAAATATAAACACTAATAAAATTATGTACAATAATATAGTCACAGAACAACAATCTGACACTAAAGGATGCATTTATATAGGACAAACTGTAGAGAGAGAAGTCCCCTACCCTTCATTACCCAAATAAAAAAAATACCCTTGAGGTAGATTTCTCCAAATCCTGGTGACAGGTTAAGATTTTTTGTTTCTTTGTTTTTAATAGTGCCATCACCATGAACCTTGTTCTAACATGTGAAGACCCTGTGAAAGGCACAAAGATGCTGTGGCTTTCGACTTTATTAATAAACTCTCACACTAACGCTTGAAATGGAGGACAAGAAATAGTCTGAAAAGCAATTTAGCAGCGAGTGTCAAAAGCAAATAAAGTCAGGTAAGGATACTTTTCTCCTCCTTACAGGTCACTCCACAATTCTATAATAGTTTCTTCTACATATTTACATGAGGGAGCTTTTTTTAAAATTGAGTCTTTTTTGGCTATTTTTTCCTGGGAAAGAGTTTGGAATATGAGTTTTATTATACAAATCAACCATAAGTACAATTAATACTTGTAAAACCAAAGAAAAAAACATTACATGTGTATTCTATGTTGATATCACTAGAATCTCTGGGCTTGCCAACACAACCCCGCAGCCCACACTAGTATGCTATGCTGTAACTTCCCCATATAGACCCTGAGAGCGTGAACTAAAAGGTACTTAGCTTGCATTAATGCAGTCCTGTTTTTAAAAAAAGAGGACTACATTCACACAAACTAGGTACACCTTTTAGTTTGCACCAGCAGCATCCACATGGGGCAGTTACAGCTTGTGCATACTGCAGTTCAAACTCTGGTAGTCTGAACTGGAGGGCCATGTAGACATAGCCTAAGTTTTAATTAGCAAAAGATTCTTGTTGATGTTTCTACCAAATACTTGAACTTATCTATTTAAGCACATATATTTCATAGATGAAGTGGTATGCTAAGCACACTATAAGTAGTGAGTGCCAACATTTGCTCACAAACAAAGGTATTTTGTCCTTAGAATATTACACACAGCTCAAAGATTTCAACAAGAGTTCTGAGCACACCTCTAAGGGCAAAATTTAGCACAAATGATTTTGGACAAGTCTAATATGACTTTCTCAGCTACTTCAACGTTGGCAAAGTCAAATAAGTTCTCATTTCCCAAATCTAAGGTGATATTTTAAAATTGCTATTTTTAAGTTGATATTTTGGTCATTTACAGAAAGGTGCTGAAGTCAGACTACATACATAAACAGGTGAAATTTGTGTTTTGGATACTATGACAGCAAATGTTGCAGGAAGATTTCTCCTTGTAATATTCGTCTTACATACAACTTAATTTTCTGCACACTGTCACTATATATAAATTACACAGACTTGCTAAAGCATGAAGGAGGAAAATTAAGTTTAAATTGAACCTAATACATCACTGTAATGACCTCTTAAATTCTCCTTTGTTTATGGGTACAGCACAGCCATGGAACAAAGAAAAGTTCAACAATCAATCTGCCTGGACCACTATTTACACTGCAGTCCCCATCCCTTTCATTGAGGGGCCACCATTTCCTACTTCGCACACTCAATTCATGGCTGTTCATTTTCTAGCTGTGCAATAGCAATACTTATGGATGCATTTGGGCAACAGAAGAAATTATATTACCATAGTTTTACATTGTAGTGATTAGCAAGGGAAGGGAAATGAGAAAACTCTCTCAGCTTTCAATAGGATAGAAGACTAGTGGACAATTCAGATAGACATACTGAAAAGGTATTATTTAAATCTTGCACATACATATACACAATTTTTCAGGAATGTTACTGTATCTATCATAAAGTCAGAAATCAATTGCACAGGTTATGTTTTTTCTAGTTGCCTGCACCAAGCTGAAGTTTTGATTCAAGTTGTTGATTTAGTCTGTTTGACCAGGCTAGAGTTTCAATCCTCTTGGAAAGTCTTCCTTAGTTGCAAAAGAAGTTCTTGTTCAATTTCTTTCTTTGTTGTTTTCTCTGACCTGGCTTATGTTTCACAAATCTGGCTCCCAGAAATCATGCAGCTTCCCCTTAAAAGAAAAAAGAACAGGAAAATAATTGAGAAACATACAAATTTTATTTTTGAGAGAGTAATAAGGTAAGTAGATAAGTAGCTTGAGCTACGGTACTGCAAGTAAACCTGTAAATCCATATAATCTTCTTATTTTAAACAATAAGCCTACCAATGAAAAGCAAGTTTCCTAGGCAACAGCCAAATGCATATCTAATTTAAAAAACAATTAGAGAATTGCATCATCAGAAATTTCCACAACCTGATTTATAGAAAGCTTTTTCAGCAGTGTATCACCCTCTAGTTCCTTTCCTTTCATGGCATTTTCTCTCACAGGGATTCCATTCATTTTACCAATGTTACAATTATGTCAAATTTTCAGCAAGACTGCAAGAGCTATCAATATGCTAACAATGCCAATGTTTAATTATTCAATAATTATTTCAAATAGATTTAAGTGTTTATACGTGCTTAAAACTCAGTCCAAGAAGCCTCTTTCAGATTACTGGTTCAAGCAAAACAAATTTCGCTTTAAGATAATTGATTATATCCCCAGTTAGTATTAAAATAGAAAATAGGTACTCTGATACCATGGCATCCTACTGAGATACAAAACCTAGAGATTGATAGAAACAGCCCCAAATCTTGGATATCCAACTTGGATATTTGTACATTCCACACGAGATCATCTACATATCTTGAAGGCATATCACTTACAAAGTGCAATCAGAGTTTACTTGGTCACTCAAGCCATTTGTTAGAAAAAAGGTTGAAATCCTACCGAAATCATAGGCAGGATTTCACCCAAGATTATAGCAGCACAGCTAGTAGATAGTGTACTTTACTACTGACTTCATTTACTAATTAGAAATTGCTTTTTAAAACTGCTACATTATACTTTCAAGTAACACAAATTAGTAAAATGCATTTAGCAATAAGAAAAAATGGTTTAACAGTACCTGAGTAGGCCGAGAATTTTGTATCATTTCCTGCCACTTGCCATATATCCTAGCAACTAAGTCTTTTACCTATAAACAAAAATTAATTCATTTACCTATTTAATAGAATAAAAACAAATGTGAGACTTATCGGACAGCATATGAAGATCCCTTTTAAAGCTGTGATACAGCAGGGCTTTGGGGTGATAGCATTTGAGCTCTTAATCAAATGCTTATATTCCATATGCGGATACTAGAGCGATAGACAATTTTACAAGCAAGATTAAACTTGATTATCTCAATTTAACACGTAAATAATGTCAGTGCTAGAGATCAGCGTGAAAGCATTTGCCTGAGATCAGCGTGAAAGCATTTGCCTGATAATACCGGTGTCTCACTCTTTTTGGGTTAGCAGGGTGTAAAATGCAAGTCTTGCAGTTTGCCATTGGATTGATTATCTTGTTACAGTAATTACTCTGGGCAACAAACAGCAGCACAGACAGCTTCTAAAAGGTGTTCCTGATACATAAGGCCATACTTCATGGCTACCAATCTTGAGTATGCACTCAAATTTCTGCTCTGAAGAGCTTACCTTATTTCTTACTCTGCTTGTACAGCACCCAACACAATGGTACCCCCCCCTCGCCCCCAAGAGCTACTTCACAACAATACATACAAGCAGAAGTGGTGGGGAGAAGCAATTAAACAGGAAAATAATAACCCCTTCCCACCTCAAGGGTAAGCGGAAAAAATACACAAAAAGATATGTATGGTGGTGGGGATACAGTTTAAACTTGAAATATAGTTAAAGTAGGTCTGCAGTATTAATTGCACCAAATGACACATCTATAGAATCAAATGTTAATAAAGAGGCTTTTTGAAGGGTAGGAATTTAGTGAATTCTCTAAGCTGGTGTAAAACAGCATTAAAATATAAAGGTTTGACTTAACTGAACAAAAGGCTTTTGAAAGGTAAGGACTGCCATGCCATGGCTTGCTACTAAAGCACATGAAAGTAACTCAAGTAACAAACTTGAGACCCTCATATGTAAAGCACCACAACATATTATAAAATAGGTGAGCTAGGCTTAATTCTGCATCACTTTGGGTTTTTTGGTGGCTTAATTAATTATGTATGTATGTAAATTACTTGTTAATTCAAATAAAAGCTATGGATCACTGTGCAAAAGAATCAGATTACTTTCCAAGTCCTCTTATCTTTTTCTCTGTAAGTGCTGCTTGGACAGATCCCTTGTCCCAAAGAGCACTTCCCCCATCAACAATCAGTGACGTCTCTAGGTAGGAAAAACCAGCAGTATCCAGAGATCCTTTGCAGCTATTTTTTTTCTGGCCATGTGGCCCCGATCTTTCAGTGATTTACACACGTGCTTAACTCTATGCACTGAAGAGTCCTTCTGACAGCAAATGAGACTATTCGCAGTGCACAGAGTTAAGCAACATGAGCAAGTCTTTGCAGGATTAGGGCCTACATGTATAAAAAGCCAGCAAGGAAATGTAAGGGAATCTCAGTACTTCTAGAACCTCCTAAATTGGGGCACGGAAATGGAACACACTTCGAAGACACACATATGCTTACCTTAGTTCTATAAAATAGCCTTGCATCTTCCCTAATATCACACTTCACATGTTTTTCTAAGGCACCACAGAGCCTCAGTAAGCACTTCTAAATAAACACAAATTCAAAAGTATGTTTAAGTTCATCACTTCAAAATTAAACTTTGTCTAAACCCTAAACAGAAAAATTGCAAATACAGGAAAAAGCACACAGTTTTTGCAGGGCTTTTTAATTTTAATTTTTTTCAGTTTTTTTTTTTAATTTGAAGCGTTTTCTCCAATACACACATCTGGCTGACTTTAGAACCATAAGGCCACTGCTGTTAGGTACCTTTAACACCACTTAACTCATGACTAAACATTTTTTTAAATAGTAGTTCCAAAGTTATATTCACGGAGCAGATGTGACAAAGCGGGACTGTTCTTAAGGTTTCTTCTGAATAGTGTGGGGGTGCCTCAGTTTCCCCTATGCAGTTCTTAAGTATCTAGGGGGTGGGATAAAGGTGTATGATCATTGCAGAGCCCTGGAGGGCAGGTGTGTGCAGGGGTCTGGACACAGTTAATGGCCAACACCCTGTTTCCTGGCAACTGATGGCCTGGGTCCTTCCCCCCTGCACAGTGAGAGCTAAAGGGGTTGGAGAACAAAGGAACCAGGTGACCTCCTGGCCCAGGAAAGGGACAAAGCCCAGAGGAGGAGGGGCTGGAGAGAGTTTCGGTTTGGGGCTGGCTGGGGACATGGAGTGAAGTGCAGACGTGGTTGTCTGGCTCACTGCCCCCCAAAATGGACCTGGCTGAGGGGTCCTGTTTAATTCTGACTGGCTAGTTTTTTGAGTCTTCAATGCCCTAGAAGACTACAGGTGCCACTCAGATCAAATTTTCATGGAAAGCATTGAAACTACAATAGTCAAAATATAATTTTTCAGCAGACAAGTCAGGTAATCATTAGGCATTTCCTGGAAGAATTAATGGTCTTTTCATGTTTGTGGCAGCTCTCCTGGAAGATTACTACTCTTCTGGCAACATCCTTTTGCTTAAATATGAACTAGGATCCATTTTACAGTAGTTTTGGACAATGAAAGCTGGTTCCCATATCTAACGGAAGCTTCACTGCAGAATTCTGTTTCCTTCCTAAACAAGTCTCCAAAAAACAGAGTTGACTTTCCTCTGTGGAGACTGGAATTGTGTGCTTGGAGGGAAGCTTGCACCTTTTATTTTTGATTAATAAAAATGGAAAAACCAAGGAAGATCTGAATCTCAAGATAGATCATTTAAATGGAAAATAAATATACTAGTGGGTTATGCACAGGCCCTTCACTTCTAGAAACCTACTTAAGGTCATCAGAAGTGAAGCAGGCGAACAACATCCTATTCTCCACAGCAGTAGTTCCCTAACCTTTTTTCCAATTCTATGAACCACTTCATAAGAGACTTCTGTCCTCCATCTCCCAGTGAATAGCCGTCAAAAGGTTTCATTCTGTGGACCACTGCTGATCCACAGTAAAGAACCACTGCTCAGGGACATCCGCTAGCATCACAAAGATACCATATAATCCTACGTAGTTGGTTCAGTCTAATCAGGAGAGACAATACTGAAAACAGCTGCAAGTGCTAAAGGCTTTATACATTGCCTATCCCATTGACTAGACTGTAGAAAGGTATTCTATCATGCCACCACTTTTCATTAAAAAAGTAAATTTGGTGGAGAAGAAATGAGTGGGATTTCTAACTGAAAACACAACATTAGGGAGGGGGCAATGTATTAAGGTACCTATTTTAAAAAAACGAATTTCCAGGAAAAATGTGTAAACAAAAGGTTTATACAATACAAGTCACTAACATCTTCACAATAAAGCTACTATGAATCTTTCTCCACTTTCAAAGGAGTCGAAGATTCTCAGTCACACAAATATTAGCAACAGACTGGAGCAGACATAAGAATGACATTCTCCGTCTTAAGGGAGTCACATGATAGTCAGATTTCTTTAACCACCATGTGGGAAGATCCATGGAGTGGCAACAGCATAAGCGGTAAGAACTGTTCAGCTACCTTACAGTAAGCAATTCAATGGGAACAAATAAAGAAAGACCAAATTACTGTATGGGATAACAGATGTCTCCTGGTCAATATCTGCTCAATAAATGGATTGTAACATCCTAGGCCAAAAGAGAGCTATTGCTATTGAGCCTATAATGGCTGCTATATTAGCCTGCTGTTGCTGCACTCCAGTACTTCACTACTACCAGATTTAACCGGGAATTGGTCCTGCTTTGAGCAGGGGGTTGGACTAGATGACCTTCTGGGGTCCCTTCCAACCCTGATATTCTATGATTCTATGATACGCTCTCTTAAATGCTTTGCAATATCTAGAGTGGGTCAAAACATTTTTGACTAAATGTTTATTTGTCAAAATATGCTGTTTTAGAGCTGAAACTTTTGCTGAGATGTATCCATTTCAAAAAGAGTTCGGTGTGAAGGTTTTGAGGTCCAGGTGGACTGTCAGGTCACTTACAGAGACCTGAAACAAAAATCTAACCTTTTTCATCCGAAAAGACAAACAAACACAATTCTGTTTCATGAAAGTGTTCGAAAGAGAGGGTTACTCACCTTGTGCAGTAACTGAGGTTTTTCAAGATGGTTGTCCCTGTGTGTGCTCCACTTTAGGTGTCTTGATGCCCTGCGCTTGTAATTGGAGATTTGTGGTAGCTGTGCCCAGGTGGGCCACGCACGTGCCGTAGCCGTCTCATGCTGTTCCGAGTGGTTGCATAGCGGTGTGTAGTCAGCCATCCCCCTCTTCCTTTTCTACCCCCGAGAATCCGCACGAAACGCCAAAGTAGAAGGGAGGAGAGAGGGTAGTGGAGCACCCACAGGGACAACCATCTGGAAGAATCTCAGTCACTGCACAAGGTGAGTAACCCTCTCCTTCAAGGAGTGTCCCTGTGGGTGCGCCACTTTAGGTGACTGTTCAACTTTGAAGCCCCTCCCCTCCACTGAGGGGCACTGCTCGTCTGTTGATGCTGGATAACATCTTAAATCCAAAGTGAGCATCTGATGCTGATTGTTGTTCTAAAGCATAGTTTTTAGTGAAAGTATGGACTGATATTCAGGTAGCTGCTCTACAAATGTCAGTGATAGGCCACATAGGCTGCCAGTGCTCTGGCAGAGTGTGTGTGAACTCCTGCTGGAAGTTGTACATTATTGTTTTGGTAGCACATCTGGATAGATCTATGGTGGGGAACCCCCATAGTTTGAATATGGACTTGAGAATTCCGGGATTCATCTTCCATTCGTGAATTTGTGAGAAATCCCTGCTTAGTACACCCACTATTGTATTTGGACATCCCAGAAGATAGGTTGCAGATATCTCTATGTTGTTGGTGATGCACCAATTCCAAAGTCATATTGACTGAGTACATAGGGAGTATGATCATGCTTCCCCTTGGTGGTTTATATAAAACATGCATGCTATATTGTCCATGAGGATCTTGATGGCATTGTTCTTGATTAGAGGGAGAAAGTGGTTGCATGCATTTTGGACTGCCCTTAACTCCAGTAAGTTTATGTGCAGGTTGGACTCCGCTGGAGACCAGTGGCCGTGAACCATATTGTTGAGTCGGTGTGCCCCCCCCAAGCTATTAGGGAAGCGTCTGTCATGATTGTAATGGTTGGAGTTCTTTGCTGGAACGGGACTCGAACAGACATTCTTTGGTTGTGTCCACCGTGTTACAGGGTCTCACTCTGCATGACATTGTGAGGTGTCTGTTGAGAGAATATCTGTGTGGTATATATGCTGGCAGTATATACTACACCTGCAAACATCTCACATGGAGTCTATAGGGTTGCCAATTTTGGTTGGATGGATTCCTTGAGGTTTTATCACGACAATCTTTAATTAAAGATTAACCTTTAACTCCTAGAGATTCCAGGACAATCCTGGAGGGTGGCAACCCTAGGAGTCTGACACGTTTTACAACAAACATTGTTGCTGACATATGCCTAAGAATTGTAAGTATGTTCTGGTGGATGTTTGTGGGCTGTCCATCACCGTTCAATTAGGCTGACTAGAGTGAGGAAGCGTAGTTGGGGGTAACGTTGCTGTGAGACCATCAAGGTAGGCTCCTATGAATTCCAACTTTTGGACAGGGACAGATGTGGACTTTTGTACATTTATTTGCAACCCTAGGTCCGTGAACAGGGTTATTGTGTGCTGCGTGGCATTTATTGCTTCTTGCTGCATTGGTGCCCTTGGACACCTTCTTTATAAGTATGGAAATATCATTACTTCTTGTCTGCGGAAGTGAGCTGCAACGACAGCAAGAACTTTTGAGAAGACTCTCAGAGCGGTGGACCGGCCGAAGGGTAGTACCCTGTACTAGAAGTCTTGCTTCCCTAGGATGAATCTCAGGAATGTTCTGTGTGACGGGTATATAGTGATATGAAAATATGCATCTTGGAGGTCAAGGGCCAAGTGCCAATCTCCCTTCTATGGTGCTGGAATTATTGTAGTTGGTCACCATTCTGAAATGTTGTGTTCTTACAAATTTGTTGAGTTTGTGTAGATCCAGGATGGGTCTCCACCTGCTGGTCTTTTTCTGAGTTAGAAAATAGTGTGAGCAGATACCTCTGCCCCTGTGTTGTAATGGTATGGGTTTCACAGCACCTACTTGTACAAGGTGGTTTATTTCCTGTTGTAGTAGGTGCTCCCGAGAGGGGTCCCTAAAGTGGGACGGGGAAGGGGGTGGGTAGGTGGGATAGAAATAAAGGGGATGGAGTAAACCTTTCAGATAATCTCTGACACCCATTTGTCTGTCATGATGGAGTGCCAGACGGTCTCCAAAAAGATGGGGGACCATTTCGGATTCTGGAATAAGAGAGAGTGTGGAAGACTCATGTCCTCAACTATGCCTTCAAAATTGTTTTCTGGAAGTGGATTGTTGAGACTTTGAAGGCTGGTCTTGATTCTGCAGACATCTATTCTGTCTTTGTTTAAAACCTGCTCTGCTTCTTTTTGTTTGCAGGTATGTAGATGCCCAGGCTTTTTAAGGTCGCCCTTGAATCTTTTAGGGTATGTAATGAGTCCTGGGGCCGGTTTTGTTCAATATCTTCATTAATGATCTGGAGGATGGCATGGATTGCACCCTCGGCAAGTTTGCAGATGACACTAAACTGGGAGGAGAGGTAGATATGCTAGAGGGTAGGGATAGGATACAGAGGGACCTAGACAAATTAGAGGATTGGGCCAAAAGAAATCTGATGAGGTTCAACAAGGACAAGTGCAGAGTCCTGCACTTAGGATGGAAGAATCCCAAGCACTGCTACAGACTAGGGACCGAATGGCTAGTCAGCAGTTCTGCCGAAAAGGACCTAGGGGTTACAGTGGACGAGAAGCTGGATATGAGTCAACAGTGTGCCCTTGTTGCCAAGAAGGCCATGGCATTTTGTGATGTATAAATAGGGGCATTGCCAGCAGATCGAGGGACGTGATCGTTCCCCTCTATTCGACATTGGTGAGGCCTCATCTGGAGTACTGTGTCCAGTTTTGGGCCCCACACTACAAGAAGGATGTGGAAAAATTGGAAAGAGTCCAGTGGAGGGCAACAAAAATGATTAGGGGACTGGAGCACATGACCTATGAGGAGAGGCTGAGGGAACTGGGATTGTTTAGTCTGCGGAAGAGAAGAATGAGGGGGGATTTGATAATTGCTTTCAACTACCTGAAAGGGGGTTCCAAAGAGGATAGATCTAGACTGTTCTCAGTGGTAGCAGATGACAGAACAAGGAGTAATGGTTTCAAGTTGCAGTGGGGAGGTTTAGGTTGGATATTAGGAAAAACTTTCACTAGGAGGGTGGTGAAACACTGGAACGCGTTACCTAGGGAGGTGGTGGAATCTCCTTCCTTTGAAGTATTTAAGGTCAGGCTTGACAAAACCCTGGCTGGGATGATTTATTTGGGGCTTGGTCCTGCTTTGAGTAGGGGGTTGGACTAGATGACCTCCTGAGGTCCCTTCCAACCCTGATATTCTGTGAGACATTGGTTTTGTCTGCAAATAGTTTCTGACCCTCGAAGGGTAAGTCCTCGACTGTTGCTTGGACCTCCCCTGGAAACCTGGAGAGGTGGAGCCAAGATGTATGGCGCATGACCACAGATTTCGTGATGGATTGTGCTGTCGTGTCTGCAGAGTCAAGGGAGGCCTGTAGGGCCATCCTGGTGATGAGAGACTCTTCAGAAATATTTGCTTTGTACTGTTCTTTTTTTGTCACTGGGTAAATTTTCAATAAAAGTTGACATTTTGGAGAACATATTGTGTGTATACTTGGCCAGCAGAGCCACATAGTTAGCTATGCAGAACTGAAGTGTAGCTGAGGAATAAGCTTTTTGACTGAAAAGGTCCAATCCTTGTCGTATGGTGTCATTCAGGAGTTGTGTTGTTTCCCCCTTTGGTTGACTGCCTCCACTACTAAGGAGTTTGGCATAGGGTATGTAAATAGGAACTCAGCCCCTTTTGCTGGCACGTAATATTTTTTGTCAGTTCTTTTACACGAGGGTGGTGCTGTAGCAGGTGTCTGCCAGATTATTTTTTCAGGCTCAATGATTGCATCATCAATTGGCAGAGCTATCTTTGCCGACGGGGATGCCTGGAGTACGTCTGTGAGCTTCGGTTGGGCTTCTGGTAGCTGTTCTAGTGAAGTGTCTAGAGATTCGGCTACCCTTTTCAAGAGGTCCTGAAAGGATTTGAAATCATCCCCCGTGGTGGGTGATGGCGGCATTATGGTTTTTGTTCAGTGATGACGAAGAGAGGTAAGTAGGCAGCCAAGTGTCATATTCAGCTATGTTCTCAGGTCACTCAGTCTCTTTCTCTTGTGTTTCCGAGGGAGCTGGGACAGTTGGTGAAGAGTATCATGCTGTTCTGGACCTGGGCGGGCTAATGAGTCTGTGGTGTTGGGCCATATACATTGCCCATGTATCCTAGTAGGACCAGTTAGGTGGGAATGGTATGGTGGGGGCGGTGCCCATGGCTGACCATACCATCCTCATATGGTAGGTGTTTGGTGGTGAGATGGTCTGGGCTTGGGTGAGGAATGGTGAAGAGTGTATATTACTGCTTCATCCTCCTCTTCCTCATCACCAGAGATAGGAGGGGCTGATCTGCAGATCTGTCAGCTGGCTTGGTACTGATCTGGATGGGGTACCCTTGGTTCTGATCAAAGGAGATTCAGGCACAGAGCCCACTAGCAGGTCTGAATGCCTCATGAACTGCTGCAGACCCGTGAGGCTCAGTGCCGGAGACGGCATGGCGGATGGCCCAGGAGTATGAGCTGAAGCTGGTGGTGCCAAGGATTTAGAGCTGTGAGGTATAGGTACAGCAGGTGAAGCCATTGTACCACTCACTACCAAGGTAGTCTTCGGCTCTGTGGGTGCCGAGCTGGAAAGTTTCACTTTGCTGTGAGAACCTCCATTAAAGCTTGCCCACATAGGTTTTCAGCTCTTTGGGAACTCTCGGTGCCGGACGTTCCCAGTGCTCCGCGGTCCGGCACTCTGAGTGCCGTCGGTACCAGGGCAGATTTTTCCGTTGGAGATCGTTTTCTTTTAGGCAATTCTCAGTGTGGGGATGTCCATGCCTGCTTTTTGGTAGCCATGCTTGGAACAGGCTCCTTGTGAGCCATTGTTGGAGCAGAACCCATCAGCTGCTGTTCCCAGCAACCGTTGGCCAGGGGGCGTCCTGGACTCTGGATTTGAGGCTGGCCTGAGGGATTTCTCCATCATGAGGAGCTTCAGTTGGAGATCCCTGGCTTTTTTTGCCTGGGCACTTTTGAGTGATGTGTTATGTCAGAGACCAGTATAGAAAGTCTGCAAGTCAGGCAGCATTTAAAGCCAGCTGACGCGGGCATGCCTGAGAGCGTCTGTTTCTTCAAGGAAAAAACTGGGATGGCCCTGTTTGAGGCTATCGCTGTGTACCTCTTGAAAAGACAGGGGGACAGTAAAAGGAAAAAGAATTTTTTTTTTTCATATGAAGAACATAAGAACGCCATACTGGGTCAGACCAAAGGTCCATCTAGCCCAGTATCCTGTCTTCCGACAGTGGCCAATGCCAGGTGCCCCAGAGGGAATGAATAGAACAGGTAATCATCAAGTGATCCATCCCCTGTCTCCCATTCCCAGCTTCTGGCAAACAGAGGCTAGGGACACCAGCCCTGCACAACCTGGCAAATAGCTATTGATGAAACTATCCTCCATGAACTTATCTAGTTCTTTTTTGAAACCTGTTATAGTCTTGGCCTTCACAACATCCTCTGGCAAGGAGTTCCACAGGTTGACTGTGTGTTGTGTGAAGAAATACTTCCTTTTGTTTGTTTTAAACCTGCTGCCTATTAACTTCATTTGGTGACCCCTAGTTCTTGTGTTATGGGGGAGGAGTAAATAACACTTCCTTCTTTACTTTCTCCACACCAATCACAATTTTATAGATCTCTATCATATCCCCCCTTAGTTGTCTTTTTTCCAAGCTGACAAGTCCCAGTCTTATTAATCTCTCCTCATAGGGCAAACCGTGCCATACCCCCAATCATTTTTGTTACCCTTTTCTGAACCTTTTCCAATTCCAATTTTTTTTTTTTATATGGGGCGACCACATCTGCACGTAGTATTCAAGATGTGGGCGTACGAGGATTTATATTGAGGCAATATATTTTCTATTATATATAAATAAAGAAATATAAGACATTATAGTAGGGCAAGGCAGTAGGGTAGCTAACTACAACTAAGCTAACACTATTAACTATGAACTATCTGAGGTAAGAGAGGGAACTGCTGATGGCTCTGACTCAACCCAAAGGCGGCAGAGACGAAACTGAAGGACGGTTGGCTGAGCACCACTAGGTAACTGCTCAGAACAGTGCAAGATGGCTACAGCGCGTGCACAGCCCAACCAAGCACTGCTACCACAAATCTCCAATTACACGCACAGGGTGTCAAGACACCTGAAGTGGAGCATCCACAGAGACACTACTCGAAGAAGGTTTTGTTTCTAAATTTTGAAGCCTCAAAATTTGTTACAAAACAGAATTGTCCTCCAGCTAGCTCCACTGATCTCTTACACAAGTAAGAAATGTTTTCCTCTAATATTTAACAAAATTTAAACTGTGTCCCTATACAAAAAAGCACCATCATAAGCAGCCAATCACTTGAGCCAGTTACTTACCCTCTGATTAGGATTCACAACGTCAAAACAACTAACTTCACTGACCAAGTGAAGAAGATTGTAGGTCAGATAGTAGGCCTAGAAAGAAGCCAACATAATTAATGCTTTTAATATTACAAGTGTGAACTTGAATCTTCGTTAAATTCAGAGTGCTGCCACCCTCCTCTGAAACTACACCACGGATAATTGATTTTAGGATCATTTTATTTTAGTGCTATATTATCTAGTTTTAAGCCCTCAGGAAAGCCAGATGGCCAGGTCATTAAACATGTATATCTGAAAATTTGCCTAAATAAATAATTTGAAACAAAATGGACAAGAGCACTGGAAAATACAATTTTGGAACAATTTTACATGGGTCCCTACATGACCTGAAAGGTTTTCTGTATTTCCAATTGTTATAATTAAACAAACTGGATGCATGAAATGGGTAGCTATGTTTTTCTCTCAGCTTACCCCCCAACATCAAACATGTACACCAAGATCCTGAAGGAATGGCTTTCAGACTAAGCCATCCTGCACAATCTCCAGTCTTCCAATATAGGCAAAGTATAATATTACTGCAGAGTAGACAGCTTCTAGACAGACGGTAAGCTTTTTGGGGGCACAAAGTGCCTTATTATGTGCTAGGCATTTTTCATGCACAATACGAACTCAATCTCAGCTGTGGCCTCTAAGCACTACCATAACAATAAATAATAGTATCTCAGCTCATATGAATGGATATAAAATATTAAGAGCAAGATGCTGCAAGGCATTCCATACACAGAACCCCTCAAGCACTTAACTCTAAAACTGTGAAAGTCAACATGTTCCAAATGACAAAATAAATGTGTAGGAGGAATGCAAATCACATATACCTGCTGCTCTAGTTCTGTACAGACGGACTCTCCACTGAGGTCATCCTGTTGCTCCTTTCTTGCTTCTATCTTTTTCTGTAATAAGTCAGAAGGCTTCATCTGCACCAGATACTGATATAGAAGAGACATCTATATAAAAGCCAACAAACAAATGTTCTAGGAATTAGTATAGCTTCCTGACACTGCAAAGCTCAATACAGTACAAACAACAGATCACCACCAGTTGGAGACTATTTTGTCCACCAAAATGAAAACTCAACATCTAAAACAGTAGGTAATTTTACTCTATTCACAAACTAACAAGTTAATTCTTGTGTGTTGCCAACATTAAGCCAACACTAGGTTAGTAACCAAATGCTGATTTTTGCATGACAAGCAATAAGCAGGAGAAACTTGCAAAAGGCATGGTACCATTATTGTCAGGAAAATGGATCTTAAGGAGTTAACATTAAAAAAATAAATCACCTATTACAGAATAAAGCAATGGTAGCTGTGGACTAAGTCAGGGAATTGAAGAGCTATATTTAACAGCATACAGCACTCGTGATTTACAGAATTTTAGAAATCTAATCGGTCATCTTGAAGAACTCCTAAACCACAGCAAATATGAGCCTCAGAGAGTCAAGACCAAGATGTAAATTAAACACATTTAATCACTAAATAGCAAAATGAAACAAAACCCACACACAAAATTTTAACAGAAGGTATGTATACAGTACCTGCAGGTCACTGGTAACAGGTAAACTTGTATACTTTTTGTTAAGAAGCTTTGAAATTATCGTTAGGCTAAGGTGTCGTCTTATTTGTCTGAAAGAGAAGTTTGTTTTTTTAAAAAAGGAACATCTCAAATAAGTGCTTTTTAACATTGCATATGAGGCAAAATATGATTTCCCTAAAGTATTTTAGCATGTGCTTTTTTTGCATATCTAGTGCAGATCTTCCAGCTTCACTAAATAAAGGTAGAAGGCCCAGTTTTTTAAAAATCTTTCCTCACAAGTCACGTTTTCTAAACCTTTTATCACTTTTGTTGCTCTCCTCTGGACTCTCTAATTTGTCACATCTTTCCTAAAGCTGGACACAATACTCCAGCTGGGGCCCCACCAGTGCCAAGTACTACGGGACCCAATTACTTCCCATGTCTTACACACAAGAATCCTGTTAATATACCAGAGAATATTTTGTCAGGACTGCATCACATTGCTAACTCATTCAATTTGTGATCCACGATAACCCCCAGATCCTTTTCAGCAGCACCACCTAGCCAGTTATTTCCCATTTCGCAGTTGTGCATTTGATTTTTCTTTCCTTAATGAAGTACTTTGCACTTGTGAATTCTATCTTGCTGATTTCAGACCAATTCTCCAATTTGTCAAGGTCATTTTGAATTCTAATCCTGCCCTCCAAAATGCTTGAAACCCCTCTCAGCTGGGCATCACTTGCAAATTTTATACATACACTCTCCATTCCATCATCCAAGTCATTAATGAAAATATTGTATAGTATTGCCAAAATTGACGCCTGCGGGACCCCCCTAGAAACAACCTCACAGTCTGTCAGAGAACTACTGGTAGTTATGAGTATGGTCTTTCAACCAGTTGTGCACCCACCTTATAGGAGTTTCATCTAGACTACACTTCCCTAGTTTGCTTATGAAAAAAAGTCATGTGGTACTGTGTCAAAAGCTGCAGTGCTTCCCCCACACCCACTAGGCCAATAACCCTGTCCAATAAGGCAGTCAGGCTGGTTTGGCATGATTTGTTCTTGACAAATCCATGCTGGCTATTCCTTATAATCCTATTATCCTCTAGGTGCTTACAAACTGTTTAATAATTTAAATTTTGATTGTTTAATAATTTGTTCCTGAATCTTTCCAGGTATTGAAGTTAGGTGACAGGTCTATAATTCCCAAGGTCCTCTTTGTTCCACTTTTTAAAAAGACAGGCACTAGGTTTCCCCTTCTCCAGTCTTCTGGGGCCTCAACCGTCCTTTATGAATTCTCAAAGATAATTGCTAATGGTTCAGAGATTGCTTCAGCTAGTTCCTTAAGTAACTGAGGATGAATTTGATCAGGCCCTGCTGACCTGAATATATCTAACTGACCCAAATATTCTTGAACTTGTTCTTTTCCCTATTTCGGTTTGCGTTCCTTCCCCCTTGTTCTTGATATTACATTGAGTACCTTTTTAGTGAAAACTGAAGCAAAACTACCTCAGTCTTCTTGATGTCATCAGTTATCTCTTCCTGCCAACTAAGCAAAGGACCTATACTTTTCCTTTGTCTTTCTCTTGCTCCTAATGTAATTAAAGAATCTTTGTATTGCCTCTTACATCCCTTACTAGAAGCAACACATTTTGTGCCTTAGCCTTTCTACATGCTTATGCTATTCTTTTATACTACTTCTTAGTAATTTCTTCCAATGTTTCCACTTTTTGTAGGCTTCTTTACTTAAACCTGTGTGTATTTCAGGATATGTCTAATGTGCTTAGCACAATTTTGATATTACATAAACTGTTAACTTATTAACATCAAATAAATGCAACACTTATTACCTTCCACGCTTTACCCAGCTAGGGACCAGTTGAACTAACCAAAGGAGATCATGGTGATGACTGGAAAGTTCACTAATTGTCAGACAGAGCTGAGGCATCTTAAAAAGGAAAAAGCTTTACTAAGAATGGATTATATTAAAATGGTCAGCTGTTACATGTATGAAAAGTGGTCAGAAAATCCATATATCTACAATCAAACCATTATCCCCTTCCTGGAGCCGTGCAGAAAGAAGGGAGAGTATGTCCTTAATGATATTTTTTTGCCTTGCATTTGTAGGTAGTCAGCCCATAGATATTCCAGGTTTATTAATTTACAGTAGGACAGTCAAGGTTTGTATGCCAAAAAACTCGCTTGCCAGCTACATTTAGGATAATGCTTTGCTTCATTCTTTCAAGCAGACATTCTAAATTTACAAGAACGCTGTTGAGTCAGATTCTTGTACAATTCAATATAGTGCTCGCTTACAAACAAGCCAGACAAGCACAATGGTAGAGAAACATTTACACTTACCCCTCTCCCCCACACACTCAGTCACTTCCCCCATGATTACTCATCTTGCTTATGCTGAATTTTCCAATTGTGATTTTGTTATTTAAGTTAAAAAAATTTTTTTTTTTGCTAAGTCAAGAACGCAAGTCAGGATGACCACATGAACGTACTTCAATACAGGCCGACGTTTAAATAAGAGCGGGTTTCCTTGGACTCAAGCTGTAATTTTGTATACCTAGCATTATAAAATCAGGTATGACATTACCTGGGCATCCCAGTCTCTGATATTTTTCAGTAGGTTTAACAGCAGACCCTGAAGATCGATCAACGGAATTTGCTGCAGTCGTTTTTCCAGGCTAATTTTAAACAGCAGTAACAGCAGCAGCAGAAGCTCCTGGTCCGCATACCCATCCCGATACATAGTTGTACAAAAACCAAGAAACTTTTTGGGGAAAAAAGCCCAAACATATTAAATTATGAGATTTTCAGTTAAATTACTACAGTAGAGCCCCATCCTGAGGTCTCTTCCAACCCTGATATTCTATGATCTGACCCCCTCCTTACTGGCTCTCTGCATTTACAGAACAACCAGGACTCCAGGGCCAGAAGCAGGTGATCTCGCCTGTGGCCACTAGATGGCGATGCAGCACTGCATTTTCCCATTCTTTGTCCAATCTGGCAAGGGGTCCCAACAAGACCAGATAAACAGGGCTCTGCCGTATTTTAAAATATAGTCTAGGAGCTTAAATTTGCCAGCAGGCATATTAAATGTGTACTAACTGATGGATTTCCCTTGCAACATCTCCCATCATACCAGGGGACTAAAAGGGAGTATTTTTTCATTTACAGTAGCACATTTTTCTTAAACTATTCACTCCCTCCTTTCTGTCATTCAGACAGGGTGTCTTTTCATCTGATTCCAATACAATATTGCCCAGAGAGGCTGGGAAAAGGTGCTGTAGCAGTGATCATCCCCCATGGAACAGACATTCTATATAAATATAGGGTGGTGAGTGGCTGACAAGCTTCCCAGCTAAACGAACAATACTTGAAAAATCTAAGATTTTGACTAGACGCTCTCAGGTATTACTGTATGGGTTAATCCCACTTTATTCTCTTCTGAAAATATATGTATTCCTTAACCTACATCCTGAAATACACATATTCTGGATTTCTCAAGAATGTTGCTCTAAATATTTCCTGTAAACAGTAATGCTATCATACAGTTACCGCTTTCCCTACACAAATGATATGTTATGACAATTAAAGTATTTCCACAAGATATTTTTGAAGCCAGTTAAAAATTTTGTATTTAAATTTTAGGAACTTTTACTCAGAAGAGCTAGCTCAAAAACATGAGCTTGACTTTCTCTCAGGGTAGTATTACCTTCACAAGACATACCCAGTACTGCACTCAGACATAGATCTCCCTTAAAAAAAAACAGCACTTGAGAAATCTCACCTTGACCACGTTAATTAGGTTGGTTTCTGGCAGACAAGAAAAAGCGGGACCTGCAGAGGTTTCTCCACTTGTTTGTTTTCCCACTGTTATTTGCATTTCAGATCTAAGAGAAAACATGTCAAACGACCTACACATTTTTTTTAAAAAAAGATACTCCAAAGCCATTTTGATTCAATTTAAGAAAAATATTGCATGATTTCTTAGAAAGTGTTATAGGGAACAAGCTCTGGGTGGTCTCTAAAGCGAGGGGTCTCAACCTTTTTCTTTCAGAGGCTCCCCCAACATGCTAGAAAAACTCCACAGCTCACCTGTGCCCCAGCAACTGGTTTTCTGCATATAAAAGCCAGAGCCGGCATTAGGGGGTAGCAAGCAGGGCAACTGCCTGGGGCCCCATGCCACAGGGGGCCTCACAAAGCTACATTGCTGAGGTTCAGCCTAGGTGGCAGGGGTCAGGGACCTGGGCTTCAGCCCCATGCAGTGGGGCTTCGGCTTTCTGCCCTGGGCCACAGCGAGTCTAATATTGGCCCTGTCTGGAGGCCCCCCTGAAACTTGCTCGAGGCCCCCTAGGGGGACCCCAGGCCCCTGGTTGAGAACCACTGCTCTAAAGCACTCTTAATGGTTTGGCCCAATTTCCTAGGTTGTGCTTTTTATAAAACTCAGCAAAAAGTTAAAGCAGGAAGAGCCAAGGACCAATAAACTCTCTGGTTTGTTGAACATTTAACTGGCAGAAATTGTTATAATGGTATGTGTTCTATGTACTATATGGTTAACAGTCGGGCTGTGTACACTTAAAAATCCAGAGAGAGTGGACATGACAGAAGAAAACCAAGGAAGCAGCTCCTAGTCTACATTCCAGCGTGAGATAGGATATTTATTGTTTAGAGCAAAGAAAGCAAGAGCTAATTACTTACAAAATATCATCTTCACTAAAGGTGGGCTGTAGATGCTGCAGAGGAAATAAAGATCTAAAAGGCACTCCCATATTGATAAATATAGCCGATATATCAGACAGTGAGGGAATCCACGCTTTAGACTGTGCATCATTGATGGACGCTACAAGTACAAAACAAGACACTGATGTTTAAAAAGTTAATTTTAGAGTTTGTTGCTTTTAAACAAACTGAATATGTGTAATGGCCATATGTGATACCAGTGCTAAGCACTACTAACATGAGGATCTTCTGTACATCGAAGTACAGGCCTGTTATCCACAAAGCCACCAGGATAATTTTGTAGCACTAAAGGTGTGGTGCTTGACACTGAAAGGTGATATTGGTTTTCTAGTTCAGAGCAGTTTATGTTTTAGGTGAGTTTTTGAAGTTGCTCCCCAACCCAGGGCATGATACGTAGGGTGAGGGTTACTTTCAGAGGACCAGATAAACTGCCAGTGGGGCTATCATCAGAATACCGGAAGGGTTATGCCTGCCTCTAAGAATGGACACAATTTCTAAACCAGAAAGCATTGTACAGGTATAATTTACTCTTGTTTGATGGCAGTTACCAAAAAGATGATGCTCAAAGCCTAGGGGATATTGGTTTATAGCATGCATTACTGTCTGACATACACATAGTAATTGTAGAAGATGCTCTCGAGCCTAGGGGTAGCTAAGTTAAGAAGGGAAGATAAAAATGAGATGCAAAATTTTTCAGACAACAAAAAGAATCAGGATTATAGCTCTGAACTGGGTCACGCTTTTATAAACTGGGACTTGATGCTGTTGCGAGGAATGCTGAAAACAGTGGAAACTGAAAGTGCCCCAAGCAGGATCAAACCCTACTCCTATGGAGTAACATTTGAGACAAAGATACACACGGTGATGTACAAGACAGAGGAGGACATATTCCCTGTCCCGGAAGCTTACAATCTAAACAGACAACAGAAATCAAGGAGAAAATAAATAGGATGGTTCAGAGAAACTCAACCCATACCAGCTTTTTAAAAGTTTATATGAAATGGGTGAGTAACTGCCTTTTTAATTAAAAGAATTAGCTGGTAGGCTTTAATCAGTAACAAGTTTTGAGGGATTTGAATGAACAAAAAAGCTGGAGAATATCTGGAGTGGTCAGACAGAAGTCCCTGAAACTGCAAATGAGAGAGGGGAGGATAAGCAGGAAATGAGAGCAGAGATGTAGGCAGGGGCAGATGCTCGAAGGCCATTTCCATACACGGGGCCCTCTGTTACCACTTCTGCTATTTATCCTGAAGGAAAACCATGCAGCGTTTGATATAACCAGATATAACCATCTGAAAAAAATCACACTGCCTTCTAGTTTTCAGTCTATGGACTGTTTGCCTATACCTCACAAAATAAAGGCTGAGGAAAAGACTTCTGGGAGGGAAAAAGTCAACATTTGATCTACTGGACAGATGTCTTCCTAGTTTTAGTGCTATTTGGGCAAGGATGGAAGGTAGTTGACCAGAGTAACCTTTGTATTGGGTGTATCACCCCTGCAGCTGTACAGTGAGATCATGACCAGCTGCATGGCTTGCATACAATCACTGAAAGACTAGCGGCTATGAAATGTGTGCCATATCACACAGCAAAGGGACCTAAACTCACAATCTGGATCTACAGTGGCAATGTAATGAAAGAGAACCAACGTATTCTCTGTTTTTCCTCTTTCTAGATTTGGGCCTAATGACCATTTTCCTCAGTCAATCACACTGTCTCGTTTAAAAGACTCACCATTTTTAATTGTTATCTCCATCAGCGTATCCAAAATCTGCACTGAAACATAGTAGTCTGAATGAACTGACATCATCTGTTGAAAGAAGCATTGCAAACTAAGTTACGTATTAGGTACACTGCAGTTTTATTCATAAAATAACCTGAATCCTTGTTAAGAGAAGAAACACGTTACAAAAAAATAAATGCCAAAGCCTCCTAAGCAAGGAACAATGTGAGGCATGATACCACAGGGTATTTGGGTTATTTGCAAAAAGAAAAGGAGTACTTATGGCACCTTAGAGACTAACCAATTTATTTGAGCATAAGCTTTCGTGAGCTACAGCTCACTTCATCGGATGCATACTGTGGAAACTGCAGAAGACATTATATACACAGAGACCATGAAACAATACCTCCTCCCACCCCACTCTCCTGCTGGTAATGGCTTATCTAAAGTGATCACTCTCCTTACAATGAGTGAGTGAGTGAGCGAGCGTGTGGGGCGAGGGTGAGAAAACCTGGATTTGTGCTGGAAATGGCCCACCTTGATTATCATACACATTGTAAAGAGAGTGGTCATTTTGGATGGGCTATTACCAGCAGAAGAGTGAGTTTGTGTGTGTGTGTGGGGGGGGGTTTGAGGGTGAGAAAACCTGGATTTGTGCTGGAAATGGCCCAACTTGATCATCATACTCATTGTAAGGAGAGTGATCACTTTAGATAAGCTATTACCAGCAGGAGAGTGGGGTGGGAGGAGGTATTGTTTCATGGTCTCTGTGTATATAATGTCTTCTGCAGTTTCCACAGCATGCATCCGATGAAGCGAGCTGTAGCTCACGAAAGCTTATGCTCAAATAAATTGGTTAGTCTAAGGTGCCACAAGTCCTCCTTTTCTTTTTGCGAATACAGACTAACACGGCTGTTACTCTGAAACCTGATCTCTGAATCTTGACCTCTTCCCCTCAGAAACATTTGAGATGTAGCAAACAGTAAAGAAAAATTGGTAAGGAGGGAGAGCAGCATATCCTAAAACCAGCAGTACTGTATTAATCCATTTGGAGACCATCTTCCTGAATATTGTTGAAGAGAACTGGGGAGGAAGGTTTTTTAAAGATATAAAGACAACCCTAAAGAAGATTTCCTAAATGGTGGTTCACGTCTTTTCCTAAGGCCAATGTGGCAAGTGGGCTCCTGCCTTCTGGAATCAGTTTTTCGGAAGCTGCATATTCTCCAATGATTCAGAACTTGACCCACCTACTCATGCATGTTGAGGATTTTGGGCAAGATGAATAATTCCTTGTGATAAATGGAAGGATGTTTACCTTGATAATAAATGAACTACAGAGAACTGCTGTATGTAATATGCTGTAAAGCCAGTGCCTTCTAAGAGCAGAGACTTCAGACTCTTTCTGTGTAAGTCTTTGACACCAGGAAGCATGTCTTTATGGAGAGAAAGAACGGAGGGGACATCTACTTTCCAGTGACTTGATAGGTTGCAAGAGTTTATAACCCTACTCCCAGGTTGGAAAACAGCTAACTTTTGGATAGACAAATTGCCCTAAAAACTTTGATATCAAAGTCTCTGAGCTACCTTATGACAAACCTGTGAACACTATTTGCTGTTGAGATGCAACTGTTCAACTCCAAGTCTAGGATGAGCTGCAAGTAATCCAGTGGAGATGGAATCTCTGGTTTCCAAGTTGATCCACCCCCCGAAACCATTACTAGAACTGTCAATACTCCGTATAAGCTGAAAAAGGTAAAATGCCCACAAGAAAGCTAGGAGAGTACCTTGTTTAGCAACTGCTGCTGAACAGCCAAGCTACCCCGTTTAGGTAGTTGAGGCGGTATGCAAGAACAGACTATGGGACGGGAGAGGCTGTCTGCAGAGAAGGAACTGTTACATCTCTTCATTTAACTAGTTGAGAACCATGTATTCTTGGGCAATTGGGGTGACCACTGATTGCTTCTTCAGTTTTGATCTTCTGAATCACTCATTTAGTAGTTGCGTGAGGGGCTGGAAAGAGAGTGGTGTCAGAGCTATTTATCAGAATCCCACATGCCTGAATCATGTGACCAGGAAAGTACCCTGGGGTGCTTCCTGTATGGCCCCTGGGGATGAAGCTCTGATGAGAATGTCAAGATGAATTCCTGGACTCCTTAAGTCTGGCTAGTGTCACTACTGACAACATCAGAGCATCCTGGGGGCAGAAGACCGACTAAAAAGTAATGCTTTTTGTGGTGATTTCTGCAACTGAGCAATAGAAGTTAAACAGGTCTGAGAGACATGCAGATAAGCTTCTGCCATAACCACCAGTGTCAATATGTTTGATGGAGAAATTTCTGCTATAACTGCAACTAGAGTCTCCATCTTGAACTTTGCCCTCATCTACCTGTTCATTCTCCTGAGGTCCAAGACAGGTCAAACTCTTCATAATCTATTCTTTACTGTGGAGAATACAGACTACGGCCTTGAGCATCTTTTATCACGAAAGACAGGCTTTAAGACCCTTAACTATAGAAGTGAAAGGTCTCCTTCAGTCAGTTTAATTTTTCTCAGGGTCTAAAGAGGAAATGAAGGGTGTGGAGGAGCTCCAGAGAACATCTATACTGTACAGACTCCTGTACCCACATGTCTGAAGTCAACAGCATCCATGTGATAGACAAGAGATATTCCACCCTTAGGCCTGTTTCAGGACAGAACCACCCCTGTTGAGGGTCTCTACAGAAGCCTGCTGGTGATAGGGGAAGCGTCACAAGGGAATGGAAAACCTGATTTGCTGTCCTGAGTCAGAGCCCCTTCCCCAGCATAAGATTCTATGGAATGGGAGCAGGTGTGGCAGAGCTCCCCAATCCTTCTGACTCCTGACAGAAAGAGCACCTACTGGTCTTCTACTTGCACTGTTTGGCCAGCTCTGCCTTGATTGGGGAGGGAAGAGGCGAAAAAAGGAGTTTGGTAGATGATCATACTAGACAGACTGGGTACAAGAAATTTGATCTCCTAAAAGGGATAACAGGGATGGAAAGATGGAAGAGAGAGCTTTCTGTTGTCCCCAAAATAAGATTTAAGACATTAGGATTCTAAAGAATAAGGCAGGATTACTGAAGTCCTATTCTGTTTGTAGTGCCAGGAAGGTGAAAAGACCGAAGTGGCATGGCCAAGCCCCAGAACCCCACAGTGTCTGAAATGTCTCTGGTGTTTGCAGGAAGAGAGGTGCAGCTGAAATATTTCAGATTGGAGGACAGATCAGGATCCAGAAAGACAGGGTGATTTATGTTTAAATTAGAAACTGATCTAGTAGGTTCACAATCTTGGGTATTCTAACTGTATGACTGTATAACTATATGTCCCCAAATAAACTAATCATGAATATAATTGTACCTAGGAGAAGTGAAAAATAGCAGTGATCTTACCTGAAACAGCCACTTCAAAACTGGCATGGGGCACTGTGTACAACTGTAAGCACAACTGAGGAAACCCTGAGTTGCTAAAGAAAGCTGCTGTGTTACCTCTGATCTGTGAAAATAGTTAGAAAGAGAACAGAAATCAATTTGGTGACAAAATCGACATCTCCAAAACCATAAAAACAGTATTTCCCCCCCCAAGATCTCACTTAACGAGAATTCTGAGTTTATGAAACATCCATTACAAATATTCTTTTCACTATATTCCTGGTGGATACAAGTTGCAGGCCATGTCTATGCTACAGAATTAAGTCACCTTAAGTTTTGACAATGATCATAAGTTGCTTTAACATCGGTGGAGCACGTCCACGCAACATTGTGTCAGCTGAGCACGTCCACAGTCATTGCTCTTGCATTGACAGAGAGTGTGTTGGATTAGGGGTAGCTATTCCACTGTACAACTCACCACCCTTTGTGACCCTCTGCTGCTGGGAGCTCTGGGAATGGATCATAGTGCATTATGGGGCTGTGCATGCCATCCTGTGATGCAAGTCTTTCCATCCCATCATTCCATGGGCTTCCTACCTCATTTCACACCATTTTTCAACAGCCCTAGTAAACTGTGTGCCCACTACCGCTAATTGACAGTATGGATCCTCAGCTACTGATCACTTGTGATGCTGAGCATACGAACACAAGGCAACTGGTCCGGCAGTTTTCCATGAGCTGCAGAACAGGGTGAACTGGTGTTCCCTGCTCTGCAGTCTGCTATGGAAACAAATAATTCAAGATTGCTGCTGCCATTCACAGAACAGCTTGCCAAGGTAGACCATCAGTACTGGGCTAAGGAAACAAGCACTAAGTGGTGGGAATCGCCTCGTGATGCATGTATGGGATGACAAGCAGTGGCTGCAGAACTTTCAGATGAGTAAAGCCACATTCTTAGAACCGTGTGCGACGCTCACCCCAGACTGAGGTGCAAGGACACCAGAACGAGAGCTGCCCTCACTGTGGAAAAAAGGAGTGGTGATCACTGTGTGGAAGCTGGCAACTCCAGACTGCTAAAAGTCAGTCGCAAATCACTTTGGAGTTGGAAAGTCCACCCTGGGTGCTGCGGTGATGTAAGTGTGCAGGGCCATTAATTGCATCCAGCTATGAAGGACTGTGACTCTCAGTAACATCCAAGAAATAATAGATAGCTTTGCGGCAATGAGATTCCCTATCTGCGACGGGGTGATAGATGGAACGCATATCCCAATTTTGACCTCTGACCATCTTGCAACAGATTACATCAACCAAAAGGGTGACTTCTCCATGGTCTTGCAGGCACTGGTGCATCACCCAGGCTGTTTCACTGACTTCAGTGTGGCGTGGTCAGAGAAGTTGCACGATGCATACATCTTTCGGAACACTGGAATGTATAGACAGCTGCATGCTGGGACTTTCTTTCCAGAAAATTCCAATGAGGGATGTGCAAATGCTCATAGTGATCCTTGGAGACTGTGCATACCCTTAGCTCCCGTGGCTCAGGAAGCCTTATACAAGAACCTAGCCAGCAGAAAGGAGCACTTCAATAACAGGCTCAGCAGGTGCCAAATGACTGCTGAATATGCCTTTGGCCGATTAAAAGATTGCTGGTGCTGTCTTTTTGGCTGGTTAGACCTCAATGAGGAAAATATTCCAATGGTCATTACAGCCAGCTGTATTCTCCATAATATTTGTGAATCAAAAGGGGAAAGTTTCTTCAGGGATGGGCCACTGATTCTGAGCAGCCAGCTGCCGATTCTGAGCAGCCAGATTCAAGAGCAATTAAAGGGGCGCAGCGGGAGGCTTTTCAAATCAGGGAGGCTTCGAAGGAGCATTTTGACAATGACTCCCAGTAATGTGTCGGTATGTGATGCATTTGGCCAAGTAATGTTTACATGCCACCATGAATTACCCCTGTAGTGCTTGCTTCTTGAGCGTTAATTGCAAGGAGCAAATAGTCCTACCTATAGCCAATGTGTTTCAATGTTAGCACTGAGCAATGTATGTATTTCACAAATAAAGACATTTAATTTCAGAGTCTCAAGTCAAACAACAGGATCAAATGCAAACTTTTGGTCAAACAGGGGACACAACAAAGAAGAACAATCTCACAGTTAGGGCTCTCACAGCTGGGTATAATTCCAGCTTTCACTAGGAAACCAGTCCCCCAGCATAGCGTGCACAGGGTACGACAAGGGACGAGGAACCCACGATGAATGTGGTGGGAGAATTTGGGGAGGGCATGGACCAGAATTCTGTAGCGGCTGGAGGAGGAGACAGGCACAGATTTGCTGTGATTGCAGGCTAATGAAGGACTTCAACATCTCTGTCTGGTCCTCGAGGATCTTAATTATCCGCTCCTGCCCGTGTCCTTTCCTGGCTATCCAGCCTCAGTCTTTCATTGTCTCCCTCCATACTCTTTGTTTCGCTCTATGCTGTATCTGTTGACTGCAGCACCTCCCGAAACATATCCTCCTTTCTCCTCCTGAGTCACTGTCTTATCTGATGGAGGTGCTCTGCTGGTGCGAAGGAGTGTGTTTCTCAAGGGCACATCTGTAGACGAAGGCAAAGAAACAATGAATAGAGACAATATTGTGAGTGCGCTCACAGCTGAGACTATCAAAAGTTACACACACCTCTTTCTCACTGTCTCTTGGCTAGCACACAGGTCACCGTGAGTCCCAATCATGGTGAGTTTGGGGGGAGGAGGGGGGACAGAGGGGACAAAGGGTGTTTTGTGAAGGGGGTTACTATAAGTGGCTTGGGAACCTACTCTGAATATTGGTACATTTTTCCACAGGCTGGGGTAATTGAACCCAATATCTCACTCCTAAGGGTAACCCAGGATGCAAGGGGGCATCTGCTGCATGCAGGTGGCTTCAGACTAGCTCCATAGGCTGCTTGCTTGCATACTGCTCTGGTCCCTGCAAAAATAATTGCTGCGTGGAGCAGCAAAGTTTCCTACAGATGGGGGAGAAACAGAGCAACTCTCCCAAGGAACCTTCAGCAGAGGATTGCAGAATATCTTCAGGAAAGTTTCCTAGAGATCACTATGGAGGATTCCAGAGACATCCCTGTGTACACTAACAAACTTTTCTGCCGTGGCCCCACTGCATAGATGGACAGGCTCTGTTAATTTCTGTCCCTTACCCCATCCTCCAACCTATAGCAAAGTACATGAGAGCTCAATCTCTTTTCACCATGCAGTATGAAAGCAAAATGAGCACTTACCGGAGCTCCCCTCTCCTGCACATCAGAGCAGGACTGCAGGGACTGGCTAGACCCTTCCAGAGTGGAAAAGAGGTCCTGACTAGCCATGGCACTGGACAACTCTGCCATGTGCTGCACAGCATCCTCCAGCTCCACCTCCTTGTCCACCACTTCCTCATCAGGGCTGAGTCAGCAGTCTCCATTCGCCCCAAAGTATCCACGGGACTCTTGGTGGTGGAGGTGGGGTCGTCGCCGAGGATAGCGTTCAGCTCCTTTTAGAAGTGGCATGCCTTCGGTGCTGAACCAGAGCGACGGTTGGCCTCCCTTGCCTTCTGGTACACCTGCTTCAGCCGCTTTATTTTATCATGACATTGCTGCGTGTCCCTGTCGTGCCCCTCTCCTGCATGTCACTGGCAATCAGCCCATAGGTATTGAAATTCCTATGGCTGGTGCGAAGCTGTGATTGCACAGCCTCCTCTCCCCATATAGTCAGCAGATCTAACAGCTTCTCTGGGCTCTATGCAGGAGCGCGTCTGCTGCATAAAGCCAGCATGGTCAGCCGGGATGATGCCGTGTGAACTGCGCACACCGAGCAAATGAGGAATTTCAAAAATTCCTGGGCCTTTAAACGGGGGAGGGGTGCATACCTGTGTACCTTCAAACTGGTGACCAGAGCAGTCATGAGGGGCATTGTGAAACACCTCCTGGAGGCAAATTAGGAGACATAATCAAGTGAGCTGTCTATACTAACACTGCATTGCTTTAACTACATCGCAATAAATTCTATGCCGCTCCTCGAGGTGGTTTTATTGTGTCAGCATAGCAGGAGAATTACATCAGCAGGAGAAGCATTTCAATGTGTATACCTCTACTGTTCTGCTGACTTTTGTCGACAAAACTGTAGTTTAGACAAGGCCTTAGTCTACTACAGTGGCTGTACCTTATTCATAATAAAACTTTTCAAACTCAGGTGACTAATTTTAAAGCAATTAGTCCTCTCTCAACTGTCATAATATACATTGAAAATTTTAAGATTAAGAAAGAATAATTCACTTTCAAATATTCACTGGTCTTCATTAAAAGGCATAATTGTTTTAAAGATATGTACTTTTTAAACAGTGTACTAGCTCTACTAATGAAAAAACAAATTCTAAGACTAATTTGGATTATATTTTTATAACCAAATATATGCACTACTAAGATGGATCAAACCAGTGGCCCCCGCTAGTCCAGTACCCTGCCTCTGAAAATAGGGGCTACCAGTTTCTTTAGTGGAAAAACAGAAGAAACTTTATAGTGAACACTTGTGAAATAAGCCCACGGATGAAGTGTCTTCCTAATTAGATACTGGCTTATACCTTGAAGCATGTGTGTTTTTACCCCTTCTAAGCAACCGTCTCATATAACCATGTATGTTTTTATCATCAGTGTCTAATTTGCTGAATCACTGGCCTCAATTATAGCAACTTCTGGTAAGAGTTCACAGGTTAATTAGGCATAGTAGTATTTCCTTTTATCAGTTTTATACCTGTGGAATTACAATCTTATTGAATCTTTTGTTCCTATATTATGAGAAAGGATAACTAAGAGCATCTAGTTTTCCTTCTATGTCCAAATCATCATTTTGTATACCTCTATCATATACACATATATCCCTTCTCTAAAGTGAAAGGGATAATCACCTCAGTCTCTATTCTGGGAATGGTTTAATAAAATTTAAAAAAAAACCAGAAAAAATTGAAAACTACTTGCATTCCAATATTTTCCTGCAGTATTTAAAAGCCAAACACCGTAGCATCATAAAACAAGAGATTCTGGAGGTGAAACTGACTAACTTAAAAAAAGAATTTAAAAAAGCAGCACAGTCTAATTTCCTGCCCAAGCTCAGCGAAATGCAAAAGGAAAATTAAAAACTGAATAGTGAAACGTTCGAAATTTAAAACTGAGTTTTGATCTTTATGAAACTATCAAAGGGGTATAGTGTCAGCTGTTGCTTTTGTGATGTGTATGAAGCCATTTAAAGTACAAGGAAATTTCGCTCTTGTGGGTTACACAGGCATACAAAGGACTTAGTTCTATGATTAAGCCTTGATAAGGGGGATAGGGATGCCACAGATTGTAACTTTTTTTTAGGTCCCTATTAATTTTATCCTCTGATGATAGGTGAAGAGAAACACTTCTGTTTGTTTCCCCAAAAGGGAATGAAGAGAAGATGCTGGACCCTTGGTTTCCCTCCCCTTCCTCTGGAAGGCAGTATGGACCGATGGATAGGGAACTGGATTATGAGTCAGAAGAATTGGGTTCTTTTTGCAGCTGGTGTGTTAAGTGACCTAAGACAAGCCACTTCACCTCTTTTCACATTCAGTTAGGGCCTCTAAACGCTAATGTAAAACAGATAAGGAATTAAGTGCCACCTCCCTGTAAGGGAAAGAAGAGGGAAGGAGTTTGCCATGACTGACTTACCATTACTTCCAAATTTTCTCATGACAAGACAGCCGTATGCTTAAATTGGTTCTAGGGGTTTTGTCATGAGACTCAACTAGTTCTTCTGATGGGCTGCGTGATTAGATACGCGAAGGATTCTAGGCTTCACGTCACCCCAGAACATAATGATTAAGCTGTAAAAACTTTTGTTTGAATCCTCCTTAGCATGGCAACCTTTCTACAAATGAGTGCAACAAGTACTACAGCTCAAAGTCCATTTTAGGAGACCCGATCTTCTGGGTCTTGCCATACCCAAGCAGCTAACTTTCTTCATTCATTATACTGTATTTTTCAGGTCTGCCTTAGCAAACTGTCAAGCTTGTGAAGGATTCCATGGGCCAAGGATTCCAAGAGCCAACAGAAACAGGGGGAAGCCCTCTATCCTGAATCCTTCTTCATCCATGTTAATGAAAAATGGAGGTGGGTTGTTCAGTGAGCCTGGAGGTGGTGTGACTGGGTTTATAAACCCCTCACTGGACAGGCAGGGTTAAGGAGCACCTCTGGGCTCAGGAGGCCCTGCACCTGCCTGTGTCCAGCATTCTTGGGTTGGAGGTGAGATTGAAAAGGCAGCCAGACAGCATAGTTGGGGGTGGCAGGACAGGGAGAAGGATATGCTCTAGGAGCTCCAGGGAAGGAGGTGACCTAATACCGCACCAAGTCAACCCTGGATCGGAACCCAGTGAAGTGGGAGGACCTGGGGTTCCCTACCCTACCTGAGAACTGCACCACGATTGGGCTGCCACTCGGGAACTGTGCCCACAAGGTAGAGCTGCCACCTGGAGCCCTTACCACTAGGCAGGAGACCCAGGTTCCCACCTACAGGGGGAAACAGCAAAGCCTCCTTTCATGCAGTGGCACAATTGTTTTGTAAAGCCCCCTAGGAAAACCTGAGTTCCAGATAAAGGGGTCAGCACTGGTTTTCAAGGTAAAGCAGAACTCACTTCCATCCAAAGGCTTTTTTTTTTTTTTTTTTAAAACTCTTCAGAAAAATCTAGCCAGTATGACAGCCTTGCAAATAAAAGGCAATAACATTTGGGGGGGGGGGGGAGGAGGGGGAGAAGAAGAGGGGAAAAAAAAATATCCTCACCTAAGAAGGAGTTTTTCTATAGGATTTTGAGGGATGAAATCAGAATTCCTCAAATCAAGGTTTTGTTGATTGAAGATTTTCCCAGAGTTTGAGAAGTGAAATATTTCTTCTCCAGGATGAGAATCAGGAATGGCATCAGATACTACTGAAAACCTCTTTATAAATGCCCTGTAATACACACAATTGTTCTTGTGAACTTAGATAATTGGTACTACCTGTCTGAGACAGTTTTATCCTTGGCTGATGAACATTTCAGCCTTAAACTGAAAAGCCTCTTTAGCCTAGATTCAATACAGTTATTGCCAAGTAATTATGTAGGACCCTGAAGATAAAGTAGGCGCTTGCATTTTAAAAAAACAAAGAGGTAACAGGGATAGGTTACAGGAGCCACATAAATCAGGAGTTCTCAAACTTTTTCTTTCCAAGTCCCCCGCAACTTGCTATAAAAACTCCACAGCCCACCTGTGCCACAACAACTTTTTTTGCATATAAAAGGCAGGGCCAGCGTTAGCGGGTAGCAAGCAGGGCAATTATCCAGGGCCCCACGCCACAAGGGGCCCCACAAAGTGAAGTTGCTGAGGCTTTGGCTTTAGCCCCAGATGTCGGGGCTCAGAGCCCAGGGCTTTGGCTTTCTGTCCTGGGCCCCAGTGAGTCTAATGTCGGCCCTGCTTGGTGGACCTCCTGAAACCTGCTCAGACCCCTCCGGGGGGCTCAGACCCCTGGTTGAGAACCACTGACATAAACAACATTACACTGAGTACGCATGCCCATGTGGGAGAATAAAGAAACTAAACAGATTTAGGTGATATTAAAGAGGAAAAACCTGTGTTCTTCTGACAGATCTCTATCTTCATCAGAGTTTTCTTGCTCTTCGTCTCCAGTTGAAGAATTTAGTCCAATTTCCTGCATGTCTTCTTGTAGTTGCTTCTCTAGTTCATCTATCCTGCAGTGGAGGCAAGAGCAGAACACCCTATTATTGCTAGTCCATTTTTACAACGAACGGAAGTACGATTAGCGTTCAGATCTCTGATTTCAGCATCACATGAAGCACATTATAAGGTGATAAAACTGGCTGAATGTACTCTTCTGAGTATATCAGTTTAAAACAAAAATTTGATGAAGACTACTATAGCTGTATGATCCTACTTGTAAATAATATCAAGAAATTATTATTAACAGGTAAAAGATCAACGGGAAGAATACTCTTTTTCTATTACTTTAAACAGCTTTTGAATTTACTTCTAAGATCAAGTTCGTTACTAGCTAGATTGTCAATAGCACCCCCTCCCATCATCACAAACTGGCATCAATACACATTCCAGCCTATGGCTTTTGCCTTAAGGACATCTTGGAAGGATGCTAATTGATTGCACCCACCAAACTGTGGCTGTTCTGATCCTAGTATGCAGCAAGAACGATGTTAGTGTCTGATAGGCCTACCTCTATAACAGCAACCAACTCGGAAGAAGCGACAGTAAAAAGTCTATGTAAGTAATTTTATTTCGTACCTGCCTAGCAGCTGTTTGGTGACCTACAATAAGGGAGACGATAGGAACTGGAATGAGACTAAGGACAGGTATACACATCACAAAAGCCACAACTAACACTATGTCCTTTTACTGACAGTCTCATTAACACACATTCAGATGGTCCCTCTAGGTACAGATTGAGGCACACTGGCAGCAGTAGCCAAATCTTAACTTGCTACGGCTCATGCTGTGCCAGTTCTGGGAGGAATAAAGAACCTATGATTCCACAAGCAAGTTTAGCATTTTTCACAAGTATCATTAGTATTATTTACCTTAAAACAACAAACATGCTAACCTTTTGGATTCTTCCTTCTCCTTCAAGAGATGCTCTAGGCTGTTCACATAAGACACTTGACTCACAACAGGCATCTTAGAAAGCTGTAATGAAGTAGTATGAATTTTTTTTTTATAATGGGGAAAACAGTCTTCTTAAGAGGATTCACGGCTAGACAAAAGGCCGCATTCATAATAATAATTTAATCCACCTGCTCAAGAAGATAGATTATATGAATTTGCACTTAGAAACATACAGGAGATCCTGAAAAATAAAATCTAAGCCAAAGAGCCCCATTTGACAGATTACACAACCAATTGCAAAGAGCAGAAACATTTTCTCTCAGACAGCACTGACCAGCAGATGAAACATTGGTCTTACCATCTCAGATCTTAGCTCTGTTTTCAGCTCTACTACAAGCTTCCTACGAGGCACTGGGCAAAAAAATCACAACCTCTCTAAGCCTCATTTAACCGATACGTAAAATGGGTGTCAGATACTGCAGTGAAAAGCATCCTATAAAAGTTAAGCAAACACACTTGCTAACTTCTTAAGGAAGCGATGCCAGGTTTTACCAAATAAGGGCTGAAGAGAATTAAGGCTAGGCAATAGAATTGAGGAGTCTAAAACATTGGGCACAGGGTTCAGAGCTAGGTGGGGCTAGCAATCACAGAAGCTCAAAGGAACATTTTGGGGTGAATGAAGAAGCGCTTTTACCAGATCCTGCATTTGATTAACATTTAGAAATTCGACCCGAGATAGCTTTAGCACAATTCAGGAGCTTTTTTTTTTTTTATTTCTGATTTTTGTTCTATATTGTTGTGTGCACACCCTTTAAAAAATAAATAAATAAAACACGAGACTATCCCACAAAAGATATGGTCATGGCAATTCTTGAGTAACACACTATTTATCTGTAGTGTCCGTTTAATTCCACAGACGCATAACTAGGTAAGATGTTTGCAGTAAATGTATGTGACCAAACATCTGATCTAGTATGTGCCTCTAATTAATGGTCATTACATGTGTGTATAATATTTGTGTTTTTTCAGGAAACAAGGCAAACAGCACACACACATAGACCCCATTATTTCAAGAGTTAGAAACAGAATAAATTTTTATGTAGTCATGATATAAGACAACTTTGACTAAGGTTTTAAAAAAATCAGCTGTTTTCAAGGTAATTAGCCTTCTGTTAGGAGCACTGCATTAGGAAAGTCTTATGCTAGAAGTGCTTAAAGTTAACCCTCCTTTATATTTTATTATAAAAATTTAAATTAAAAAAAAAGCAGCTTTTTTTCCAGGTTGTGCTACTGAACAAATAATTTGTAAAGTGCTAACCTTAAGTTATCCCCATAATACTCATGTAAATTGTAAGATGTGGTTCATCCTAATGGACAGACCGAGGAAAAAAAGAGAAGTGACGGCAGGATAAGTCCTGGCACCTCTTGCAAGGTCCCAAGTATTCTCAGCTTCCTTGAAATTCAGGCTCTCTCAATAGGATGGTCTGATACACTTCAAAGAACACTTCATGCTCACAGGTCAACCTCCTGAGCCTTCACAGCTCACTAACTACCTAGGTTCCCACTAAGCTGCGTGGTCGCACAGCAGCCTATTAAGCACCGCGCAGGGCTGTGGTGGGGAGAGATGACTCTTCCCCAGTCCCAGACCTGCCGCAGCCCGGGGTGGGGGTGGGAAGAGATGCCTCTCCCACCCACCCAGGTGCTGCTGCGGGTAGGGCGAGCTGTGGGAAGTCCTCTCTCCCCGCTGTAGCGCAGGGCAGCCTGCACCCCAAACCCCTCATCCCCAGCTCCACCCCAGAGTCCACACCCCCAGCCAGAGTCCTCACCCCCTGCACTCCAACCCTCTGCCCCAGCCCTGAGCCCCCTCCCACACTCCAAACCCCTCGGCCTCACTCCCGCCGCATGAATTTTGTTATGTGCGCCAATATGGCACACATCACCTCCATACTGGTGCACATAACAAAATTCATTCCGCACATGCGTGGAAAAAAGTTAGAGTGAACACTGCTAACTACTTTTAAATTCATCAAGGTGGATGAACTTCTAGAGACTGGGGAACAGCTTACTCAGCAGCCAGCCCAACAAATATTGAACTCCCAGAAGAAATGAAGCAGACCAAGGAAGGATCTTGCCACATTCAGGACAGTATGGAAATGTAAAGCCTATTTCTGTTTTAACAGGAAGAGTAAGTGGAAAACAAAGTTCCTGAAACCACTAATATGCTCAAGTGGAAGAGGCCAAAGGAACTTATTTACTTTATGTAATCACTGCAAATGCTCAGATAGCATAGGTATGAGTGTGGTATAATACACGATGAAAGGATGCTCACCATGTTATAGGATCAGAACTGACTACCCAGTTTTACAGCCAAATACACAAGACTTTACAAGAGATTCTTCTTACAAAGAAACAATGAAGTGTCAGAAGAAAAACACCGATAAATTTGACTCAGATGAAAAAAATTTTAGCCACTTACAGGACGTTTGGGTGATGGAGTCAAGGTGTCCTGTGAAAGATCCTCAAGACAAGCTCCCTCTGGAGTTCCAGCACATGATTTTGAAGTTGAGGACAGGATATCTTGCAATGGCAAGAGCATTTCTTCTTCATCGCTGTCCAGATTACAGTCAAAACTCTCATCTTCACTATCAGAACTGATGCTTAATTTTCTATTCAACACAGAAGTTGTTATGGTGGAGCTTTCAATGTTCAACTCATTTGAAATCTGTGAAGAACTAGTGCTATTAGCTGAGCAACCATCTTCAAAATACAGTGAACGTGCAACAACTTTGCCAATCTTTACTGAAAATACAGGCTTCTCAAAAATTTCCACTGAAGGCAAGTTAGAATTATCTTCTGAAGTCTTTACACTGTTCTCTTTTGATTTAGTAAAGTTCTTGTGAGAATCTGAGGGAAGCTGTACATTATCATCTTTACAAAGGATAGGTTCAGTCTGTCTCACTCTGTCTTGCTCTTTCTTAGTTTCCAATACCTGAGATGAACTAGCACTTTCAATGTGGGAAGAAGAATGTAGGCATTTCATTTCTTCTGTGCACACTGTATTTGACTGAGTTTTAGTTAATTCATGGATATAAGTCTTTACAGTAGCTTTTTCCTGAGAAAAAGATGTTGACTTTTCTAAGAGGAAATGTGAGCGGGTTGCTTGCAACTGATTTTCTTTGGTATCTGCAACATGGATTTGGTCATTTTTATTAGCACAGTGTCCAGAATTTAAAGGTGATAAACCCACATATGAGGAATTACCTTTTTCCTTTTTGTGGCTTATGTCAAAATATTCCTCTGAAAGAGACAAGTCTTCTCTATGTGACATAGCAGCATCCTCTAGTTGCAGAACACCATTACCTGGAGACTCTAGTACAATGTGTTTAATGAATTCAGACTTTCTACTTTGGCATTTTTCAGACGACCTGCTGAAATGAGGTTCATTCAAACTTTGTACCACAGGTTTTCCTGAACTTTTCAAATCCATATTCATAGATATTCTTTTTTTTTTCCCAGGAAAGTCTTTTTGTTTGGACAGTCCTGAAGAAATTTTTGAGTTAAGGCGGAATGACTGGTTTTTCCATATATTAACAGCCTTTTCAGATGACCATCTTGATAGAAGTGGGGAAGAAACTTCAGGTTTTGAAACCTGCTTTGATTGAGATGAATCATCTGTGGAAAAAGTTTGAAAAAAGTTTCATATTTTGTAAAAGTTTCAGTGTCTCTCTTGAAACTGTGTCACAACATTCCTCTTTTAAAAAGTAGTAAGACAACTGTTAGTTCCTCATTAATGACATAACTGACAAAATGTTTGAGCACAAACAGCAACTCTCTCACTTAGCCCACAGTATTCAGGCTAAGATCAGTTATCTTTAGTTGAGATTATACATGTGCATTACTACTTGTAACTAATTTGGCAATGAAATAAGAACAGTTTCTTTTAAGAAAGGAGCTCAGTATCATATTGGGGCACCTGCTCCATATGCTAGAATTAAAATATGAGGGACTATAGTAGCCCAGACTAAGGGAAGAGGGATCATGTCTGAGAACAGAGGAAAGTTTCCGTTAAGTCTGAAGTAATTTATTTCAAATACATTTATTTATACCTGGGCTTCTGAAAACTGATTTTGAAAACAGAATTAAAAGTATCACAGTAACTAACACACTTATCAGATCCCATTCCCTTTTGGATTCTTTTAAAATATAGGTACTGATCTTCTGGGTGGTAGTCCAATTCCAAATTTCTAATTAGGCATTGTCACCTCTGGCAGCCTGGTCGGGGGGGGTGGGGGGTAAAAAATGCTACCATATATAAAGCTATTGGTTGGTAAATCCATCCAACTTAAAAAGAGACCCAAGGATGCCTTCTTCTAAAGCTAAATTTGATACTGAGACACAGAGCTGGGCAAAAGCACTGTTATTCTGAAAACTGGTGCACTAACATGCACTGTTTATTTTGCTATATTTTGATATTTAAGTAAACAGAATCAATATCTCACATTGTCAACTATGCATTAATTTTGTGATGTTCGCTTTTTAGGTAAGTATGAATCTGTCCTTTTTAAAAAAAAACAGATTAAGCAAAGTGACCTATGCACAAAGTGAATGAAATTCTGCTCTTATTTATTCTAATTAAGGCTACGCTTTAGTCATGGGTATTTTTAGTAAAAAAGTCATGGACAGGTCATGGGCAGTAAACAAAAAGTCCATGACTTTTACCATATACCCCTAACTAAAACTTGGGTGGGGGGCCGTGGGTGCTCAATGGGGAGGGTGCTGTCTGGAATCCTGCTGCTGCTGGGGTTTTTTGTGGGGCGGGCAGGGGCTCCCTACCTAGTTCCGTGTGTCCCCTGCAGCTCCTAGGCGGCGGAGGGGTCAGAGGGCTCCGTGCGCTGCTCCCAGTCCCGCCAGAAGCGCCGGCTGCTTAGCTCCCATTGGCCAGGAACCACAGCCAATGGGAGCTGCGGGGGCAGGGCCTGAGGGCACAGGCAGCACACAGAGCCCCATGGCCCCTCCTCTACCTAGGAGGTGCAGGGCCATGCCAGTGAGAGCCAGGGAGCCCTCCACCCCAGGATAAGTGTCCCCCACACCACCCAAACCCCTGCCCCTAGCCCTGAGCCCCCTCCCACACACCCAAACTGTAGCACAGGCTGCAGAAGTCACGTAGGTCACGGAATCCATGACTTCCGTGACAGACTCGCAGCTTTAATTCTAATGTAAACTCAAAATAATTCCATTGATTTCAATGGAATTACTTTAGGATTTACTCATTTGGTTTAATCTTTTTTTTTAATTCAGTTTATGCAACATCTATATACTGAATAGTACAAAATTATGGTTTAAAAGGAAAGCAATATATTAAAAGTACAGCTGTCAAGTGATTAAAAAAATTAAACGCACTGTTAAACTAATAGAATACTGTCTATTTAAATATTTTTGGATGTTTTCTACATTTTCAAAAATATTGATTTCAATTACAGCACAGAATACAAAGTGTACAGTGCTCACTTTATATTTATTTTGACAAATATTTGCACTGTAAAAAACAAAAGAAATAGTATATTTCATTTCACCTAATACAAGTACTGTAGTGCAATCTCTTTATAATGCAAGTTGAACTTACAAATGCACAAAAAATAACTGCATTGAAAAACAATGTAAAAACTTGAGGACCTACAAGTCCACTCAGTCCTACTTCTTGTTCAGCCAATTGCTAAGATAAACAAGTTTGTTTACATTTACAGGAGATACTGCTGACAGCTTCTTATTTACGTCACCTGAAAGTGAGAAAAGGCGTTCGCATGGTACTTTTGTAGACGGCATTGCAAGGTATTTACATGCCAGATATGCTAAACATTCATATGCCCCTTCGTGCTTTGGCCACCATTCCAGAGGACATGCTTCCATGCTGATGATGCTCCTTAAAAAAACGTGTTAATTACATTTGTGACTGAACTCCTTGGGGGAGAACTGTATGTCTCCGGTTCTGTTTTACCTGCGTTCTGCCATATATTTCATGTTATAGCAGTCTCGGGTGATGACCCAGCACGTGTTCATTTTAAGAACACTTTCACAGCGGATCTGACAAAACGCAAAGAAGGTACCAATGTGACATTTCTAAGGATAGATACAGCAGCCGACCCAAGGTATAAGAATCTGAAGTGCCCTCCAAAATCTGAGAGGAGTGAGGTGTAGAGAATCCTTTCAGATATCTTAAAAGAGCAACACTCCAATGCAGAAACTACAGAACCCAAACCACCAAAAAAAGAAAATCAACCTTCTGCTGGTGGCATCTGACTCAGATAATAAAAATGAACAGGCATCCGTCCACTTTGCTTTGGATTGTTATTGAGCAGAACCCGTCATCGGCATGTACGCATGTCTTCCGGAATAGTGGTTGAAGCATGAAGGGATAGATGAATCTTTAGCACATCTGGCACAAATATCTTGTGATGCTGGCTACAACAGTGCCATGCAAACACCTGTTCTCACTTTCAGGTGACACTGTAAACAAGAAATGGGCACCATTATCTCCTGAAAATTGTAACCAAACTTGTTTGTCTGAGCGATTGGCTGAAGTAGGACTGAGTGGACTTGTAGTTCTAAAGTTTCACATTGTTTTGATTTTGAGTGCAGCTATGTAACAAAAAAACCCAAACTACATTTGTAAGTTACACTTTAAAGATAAAGAGATTGCAATACAGTACTTGTATGAGGTGAATTGAAAAAGTTTCATCATTTTTACAGTGCAAATATTTGTAATAAAAAATATACAGTGAGCACTGTATACTTTGTATTCTGTGTTGTCATAGAAATCAATGTATTTGAAAATGTAAAAAAAATCCAAAACTATTTAATAAATTTCAATTGGTATTCTTCTATTGTTTAATAGTGCAATTAATTTTTTTATCAGTTAATTTTTTTGAGTTAACTGCGATTAATCGACAGCCCTAATTAAAAAGTAAAACCATTATTATTTTTTTTAAAAGTTGAAAAAGACAAAAGTTGTAAAAACTACAACAGTAAAGGTGGAATTTCCAAATTAATCTTGAATCAATATTGTGGTTTCTATGTTTAAAGGTCTTAGGAATTCATGCTTAATCCTTTTATAGCAAACTGATAACACAGCTCATTTCTGCAACATCATATCCTGATTTAATTATATATACACTAGAGAAAGATCAGGTAGGTGAGGTAATATCTTTTATTGGACCAAGTTCTGTTGGTGAGAGAGACCAGCTTTCAAGTTTACAAAAGCCCTCATCTCTCTAATATCCTGTGACCAACATGGCTACAGCACCACTTAATTAGATACTGTATTTTAATACTTTCAGCAGCTCCAAGTCATTTTTAAACTTTGCCACAACAGACCAAACCACTGCAAAGCAGAAATAGTTAGGTCTGTTTAACTGACATTACTTAAAAAAAAAACACAGAATATTTGTGGTACAGTTTCATGTTTAGTTTCTTAGTTACTGATGAGCCTCTATGAAATTATGAGAGTCTCAGTTCATCTTCATGCACATACAAGGAGTATTCAAACTTCAAAAGGAATCTAGCCATTAATAAAGGACAATCATTAAAATGAGATAACCTGTTTGCTCCAACTAATTCTACATCATTAGCATTGTTGTTTCTACCTGAGGCAGTCTCCCATGAAGCAGAGCTTGATCTTTTTCTTAAAAGACATCCATTGCCCTGTTAATAAGATGAAAAAAAAAAGTTACTTGGTTGAGCGTAACAGTGTTTTTAAACAGGGCTTGCCGGTTGGTGAAATAAATATCATATTCAATTTTAGAAAAAAATACCAATGCCATTTCCATTTATTTAAAACTACTTTTTGTTTCTCTTGGCTGTAAGGTTCACATCTAAAAGAGTGTTACGCCTTAACTCAGGGGTTCTCAAACTTCATTGCACCGCGACTCTCCTCTGACAACAAAAATTACGACATTACCCCAGGAGTGGGGACCAAAGCCCAGGCCCACACAAGCCCTGTCACCCCAGGCCGGGAGAAGGGCGCAAAACCCAAGCTCAAGGCTTCAGCCCCAGGCAGGAAGCCTGTAACCTGAGCCCCGCCACCCATGGCTAAAGCCGAAGCCAGAGCCCCACCGCACAGGGATGAAGCCCTGGGCCCCAGCAAGTCTACCACCACCACTGGTGACCCTATTAAAATAGGGTCATGACCACTTTGGACTCCCCAGCCACAGTTTGAGAACCGCTGCCTTAATTCTAAGGTTGTAAATACCTAAAAAGTGGCACACAGGGAGAGAGGATCACTGCTTCACCTAAAATTACCTTGTCAAAAAACATAAGCTTTTTTTTTTTAAATAAAATGCCATCAGTTATATCAATATACTTCACTTTATACTATTTTTGCACACTTGTACTGGTTTCCAGCATCAGTACACCTGCCTTTGCATTTAAGTTTACCACTGGGAGAGGGACTACAATTTCCATCAAAGCACTGTGTTTGCACTGAAAATTGAGAATGAAAGCAGACCACTGCTGCCAGGAAGAGAGCTAATGTCCCTTCCTATTGCTCAATGCTTATGGCTAAGGTTATGAATTATCAGATGGGTCCTCAAGATTTGGTGTACTAGAGTAAACTTTACCTAGCTTCGGTAGTCTTCTGTTTTAACCAGGCAACTTTTCAGCTAGTTATTTCTGATTAACCTAAAAATAGCTAGTAATCACTTGATCAATGCTTTGCTTAAAAAGACAATATACTATGTAATATATTCTGTATGTAAATCACATTCATCTAAAATATTGGTCAGAGGTTTGGCCCTTATTGACACTTGCAGACATACCTGATTTGATATACCTGGTCCTAAGAATACCTTTACTGGACTGAAGGGCTGCAGTTTAGGTTGTTCCATTCTTTGTCTCTTCTTCTCTCCTTCTCTGCAGTAAGTTTCCAGTGGTAACCAAAACTGAGATTCAACGGGGCTGTACTGGAGCTTTGTGGAATGCCCTGCTTTTTGGCACAAAGGTTTATTGTTCACGTTACCATTACTTCTGGCATAGTTTTTTAAGATGTCAACTTCTGATGTTGAAACCCATTTGCTGGCAACATCTGAACTGGCCTCCTCTAGATCCACGCAGTCAATCCGCTGTTCCCTACCATTTTCATAAAACGGTGTTCTTGTTTTAATTGGACACTTTTCATTCCTCCCAGGTTCTCTCTTACTAGTCGTATCCTTTTTTGTCAAGGAATAGCTGGGAGAGCCTGCAGACATAAGGAGTTTTCGAACCACAACCTTCGGATACTTTGTGTTTAGCACCATGCATGGTCTATTGTTCTCTAAAATTTTTGGACTGTCCTTTCTCTCTCTGTTAGCTCCTCTCAGTAAGTCATCCATTACAGGACTCTTGTTTGGAGATTGGACTGGAATCCTTTCCCTTCTAGTTTTCTTCTGAGATGATATTTTCTTTTCAAATCGTTCTGTACATATGACTGACAGTTCAACATCCCCATTTTTTACATTTCTTTTGTCCGGAGAACACAATACAATTCTGTCTTTATTGCCAAATTTAAAGAGATACAAAATATAAAATTAATTATGCATAATTTAGTCACCACACTATTACAGAGAGAAAAAAAGGTGTGTCCTTAATTCAGTTTTAAAAGGGTGTGTCCTTAACATGGCAGTGAAGAGCAACTCAGTTTTTAACTCTGTTTAGCAGCTTGAGTTAAAACCTCTATGGGAACCCAAGTTAAAAACTAATTTGGATTAGCAGCTTGAGTTCAATGCCATGCTCCCAGAGACTAACTCAACCTGCTAACCAAAGTTAAAAACGGAGTTGCTGTCTCTCTACTGCTAGTTTAGTTAACTAACCCAAATTCAGAACACACCTTTTTTGCACAGCATAGACCGGAGCGGGCAAACTTTTTGGCCTGAGGGCCACATCAGGTTTCCAAAATTGTATGGAGGGCCGGTTAGGGGAGGCTGTGCCTCCTCAAACAGCCAGGCATGGCCTGGCCCCCGACCCCTATCCAACCCCCCCTCCCCATCCACCCCCCCCCCCACCACCCACGCCCCGCCCTCCTTCTCTCCTCCCCCCCCCGACCACCCACGCCCCGCCCTCCTTCTCTCCTCCGCCCCCCGACCACCCACGCCCCGCCCTCCTTCTCTCCTCCGCCCCCCGACCACCCACGCCCCGCCCTCCTTCTCTCCTCCCCTCCCCAGCCCTGCCACCCAGAGCATTGTGCCGGTAGCACCATGAGCTGAGGCTGGGGGAGGACGGGGCGGGGGTGGTCAGGGGACAGGGAGTGCTGGATGGGGCAGGAGTCCCAGGGGGGCCATCAGGGGGAGAAAAGCAGGGGAGGGTTGGATAGGGGTCGGGGGCTAGGCCATGCCTGGCTGTTTGAGGAGGCACAGCCTCCCCTAACCAGCCAGGAGCTCAGGGGACCAGGCAGGAGGGTCCCATGGGCCAGATGTGGCCCGCGGGCCGTAGTTTGCCCACCTCTGGCATAGACATATCCACAGACTCCATCTTTCTCTCTCACCAGCCAAACAGACTATTAAGTAATTCAGTGTTCACTTGCACTACGTAAATTATTTCAAACAGTATTTTAATGCCCAAAACATAAAAATGAAACTGTGCCACAGCTTGGGTTACTATCCACCATCTAGCTTAACTAGCCTCAATGGAAAGGAAATTTGTAACCTTGCCATTATTACCCTACTAGAATTCATGCAGGGTTACATCAGACCTATTTGATCAGCAACATTACACACACATCTGGTTATACAGCTAAGGCAGGGGTGGATAAACTTTTTGGCCCGAGGGCCACATCTGGGTGGGGAAATTGCATGCAAGGCCATGAATGTAGGGCTGGGGCAGGGAGTGCGGGGTGTGGAAGGGGGTACGGTGTGCAGGAAGAGGTTCAGGGCAAGGGGTTGGGGCACAGAAGGGGTGTGGGGTGCACGAGGGGGCTCAGGGAAGGGGGTTGGGACGCAGGAGGGGACATGGGACAAGGGGTTGGGGTGCAAGCTCTGGCCCGGCGCCACTTACCTGCAGCGGCTCCGGGGTGGCAGCAGCACCCAGCGGGGCTAAAACAGGCTCCCTGCCTGCCCAGGCCCCACCGCTCCCGGAAGTGGCCAGCACCATGTCTCTGCAGTCCGAGGGCTGTGTGGGGCTGAGGGCTCCACACGCTGCCCTCGCCTACGGGTACCTCCCCAAAGCTCCTACTGGCTGCGGTTCCCCATCCCTGGCCAATGGGAGCTGCAGGGGACGGTGCCAGAAGGCGAGGGTAGCGCACAGAGCCCTCTGCCATCCTGGCCCCCCCGGGATGTGGTGCCGGCTGCTTCTGGGAGAAGTGCGGGGCCCGTGGTGCCACGAGGGTGGTGATCTGGCCCGCATCCAATGCCCTAACTGCCCGGATCCGGCCCGCAGGCCATAGTTTGCCCACACCTGAGCTAAGATCTTCTATAGATTACAAGTTTCGCAACTGGAAATAAGTTTAGTTAGATTTCTGCACTTGTATAATTTAAGAAAACTCATGTACGAAAGATCTTTCATAACAATATTAACTTACCTTGTTTTGGAGCTGGTTTGAAGAAATCTGTAATAGACTGATTTCTGAAAAGGAAACAGAAGTATTATAGCCTAAATATACAGTTTTTATAATATCAATGCTGTCATTAGAAATACAGATAAAACTGAAATCCTGCAATATTTTACCCATTCATTACAGAAAATTTTGTAAATGTCAAAACTAAGTTCCAATAGCATTCTGTCCAGTATAAAGCCTTGAAAAAAACAAGCAGATGACATAATTCCTTTTCCCACTCTGAATGGAATGAGAAACTATAAATAAAGTAGGTTTCAGAGTAGCAGCCGTGTTAGTCTGTATTCGCAAAAAGAAAAGGAGTACTTGTGGCACCTTAGAGACTAACCAATTTATTTGAGTATAAGCTTTTGTGAGCTACGGCATCCGATGAAGTGAGCTATAGCTCACGAAAGCTTATGCTCAAATAAATTGGTTACTCTCTAAGGTGCCACAAGTCCTCCTTTTCTTTTTATAAATAAAGTACTAAGCTAAGTTCTCTGCAAGCTGTATGGCCACACAGCAGCTTATTTAGCTGCGCGGAGGCACTCAGGGAACCTGCTCGGGGACCTGCCCCAACCTACTGCAGCTGGGGCAGCCCCCCACCCCAACTATGCCACAGCCCTGGACCTGCCTTGGCCAGGATGGCTCCCAGCCCCAACTATGCCGGAGCCAGGGCCGGGGCTGGTGAAGTGCAGCATGGCCCGGCCCCAGCCTGGACTTGTCATGGGGTGTTCCTCCCTGAACCAAGCCCTGGCCAGACCTGCAGGGGCCGGGGGAGGGCCCCCTATCCTGAAGCCCCAGCCGTGGAGCTGCTGTGGCAGGGAGAGGTGCCTTTCCCCCCGAGCCCAGGTGCTGCTGGGGGGAGAGGTGGGGAGGGAGTCCTCTCTCCCTGTCATAGCCCCCTTCTGCACCCCAAATCCCTCATACCTAGCTCCACCTCAGAGTCCGCACCACCAGCCAGAGCCCTCACATCCCTGCACCCCAACCCACTGCCCCAGCCCTGAGCCCCTCATCCCTGGCCCCATCCCAGAGCCTGCACCCCAAGCCGGAGCCCTCACACCCCCTCCCACACTCCAAACCCCTCAGCCCCACCTCTACCACATGGATTTTGTTATGTGCACTGATACGAACAAAATTCATTCCAAACATAGGTGGGAAAAATTAGAGGGAACACTGGTACTAAGTGGTCATTTTTTAAGGGTGAGATTTTCAAAGTTGATGAGGGGATTTAGCCACACTGCTTCCATTAATTTCATTTGAACCTGTGTGGCTAAAACCCCTGCATTCAACTCTGAAAATATCAACCAACCAGTCTTGTTGATCAAGCTCTGGAGATAGGTATAGCTTTTAAAACATCCCTGATTTACAACAATTGCAGCCTCCTCCTCTCTGAACACACTGCCTTCTCTCTTTGTTATCCAATAATCACATCATGCCCCTATCTGAATCCCTCCACCGACTCCACTCTTCCAAGGCATCAACTTCAAGCTTCTCCTCCTACCATTCAAGACCTTTACAATTCTCCTCCTTCCCACTTCAGTATAAGTGCACTCAATTTACTCCTTTTGAGTCTAGCATGAGCTAGAACAGACACACTGCGAAGTAACACTAGAGATGCTGCAATGCCCTCTCTCTAATGATCAACACCCGCCAGGAAAACACCTTTCAAGGTCCATGGCTCCTACACATGCCTAGCACAATATGTGGTGTTCCTCATTCAGTGCACTAAATGCCCCAATAGCAACTATGTGGGTGAAACCAGACAATCACTATGCTGTCAAATGCACTCACAGAGAAAAATGATGAGAGACAAAAAACACTACATCACATGTGGGTGAATTTGCTTTTCACAAAGTGATCACTATCTCTGACCTATCAGTCCTAATCGTCAAAGGAAATCAGCACAATACTTTCAAAAGAAAGCCTGGGAGCTTAAATTAAAATTTTTGCTACACACTAAAAATCATGGGTTTCAGAGTAGCAGCCGTGTCAGTCTGTATCCGCAAAAAGAAAAGGAGTACTATTTGTTAGTCTCTAAGGTGCCACAAGTACTCCTTTTCTCTTTACTAAAAATCATGGACTCATTTGACACAGTGGATTTTATGGCTTATTACAGCAATCTATAACCTTCTAACAACCCCCTTCCCCAGTTTGCAAATTAATTCCAGTTCTGCAGTTTCTCATTGAACTCTGTTTTTGAAGTTAGATATGCAGACAGAGTTGGAAACGCGGTTTGTTGCAGGGATTGGTTCCTGGGTTAGAAGTCACCTACTACACAACAGGCCCAACAAAGAAAACAACAGAATGCCACTAGCCATCACCTCCAGCCCCCAACTAAAACCCCTCCAGCACATCATCAAGGATCTACAACATATCCTGGAGGACGATCCCTCACTCTCAGACCTTGGGAGACAGGCCAGTCCTCGCTTACAGACAGCCCCCTAACCTGAAGCAAATACTCACCAGCAACTACACACCACACAATAGAAACACTAACCCAGGAACCAATCCCTGCAACAAACCACATTGCCTACTCTGTCCGCATATCTATTCAAGGGACGCCATCATAGCACCTAACCACATCAGCCACACCATCAGGGGCTCATTCACTTGCCCATCTATCAATGTGATATATGCCATCATATGCCAGTAATGCCTCTCTGCCATGTGCATTTTCCAAACCAGACAATCTATGCAAAATAATAAATGGACACAAATAGGACATCAAGAATTGGAACATTCAAAAACCAGTAGGAGAGCACTTCAATCTCCCTGGACACTCAACAACAGACTTGAAAGTGGCAATTCTTCAACAAAAAAAACTTCAAAAACAAATGAGAAACTGCAGAACTGGAATTAATTTGCAAACTTGACACCATCAAATTAGGCCTGAATAAAGACTTGGAGTGGCTTGGTCACTACAAAAAATAATTTTCCCTCTGTTGCTACTCATAACTTCTTGTCAACTGTTGGAAATGGGCCACATCCACGCTACCTGAATTGGCCTTCTTAGCAATGACCCCCCACTCGGTAAGGCAACTCCCATCTTTTCACATGCTGTGTATTTATACCTGCCTTCTGTATTTTCCACTCCATGTATCTGATGAAGTGGGTTATAGCCCATGAAAGCTTATGCCCAAATAAATTTGTTAGTCTCTAAGGTGCCACAAGGACTCCTGGTTTTTGCTGATATTTGTATGTTTGTCAATATCACTTTTCACAGCACACTCAGTAGCTAGCTGGGAGGCTGTGATAAATGATACAATACTAACAAATATACAAGTACCACTTACCACAGCCTCTCAGCTAGTTAGTAAGTCTGCTGTGAAAAGTGATACTTCTATGTTTGTTAATTCACTTTTCTCAGCAAGCCCCAGGACAAATTAAGCCCTGGATGAGGAGGTCAGAGGGGGAAGGCAGTGAGGGCCCAAAGCAATGGGGGGAGAGGCAGGGTTGAGCCTGAATGGCCAGAGACGGGGGTCAGCGCACGCTGCTGTGTGGTCAGAGCAGGGTCTACACAGCTGAAGCCGCAGGGTGGAGCCCACTGCTGTGCAGCCAGGACCAAGGGGTCAGCACCCAGGGCCAGCTCCTGTCACATAGCAGCAGGTGCCTGGGACCAGAGCCAGAGGGCAGCAGCCAGAGCTGGAGGCCAGAACCCGCACAGCCTGGCTCCTGAAGTCCTGCCACTGGAGGCACCCCAGGGGGAACCCGTAACAGTCTAATTCGGGGTGGCCAACCTGTGGCTCCAGAGCCACATGCAGCTCTTCAAAAGTTAACATGCAGCTCCTTGTATAGGCACCGACTCTGGGGCTGGAATTATGGTGCCAACTTTCCAGTGTGCCGGGGGGGTGCTCACTGCTCAACTCCTGGCTCTGCCACAGGCCCTGCCCCCACTCCACCCCTTCCCACTCCCACCCCTTAGCCTGCCATGTCCTTGTTCCTTCCCTCACAGAGCCTCCTGCACACCATGAAACAGATGATTGGGACGTACGGAGAGGCACTGATTGGTGGGGCTGCCAGTGGGTGAGAGGTGCTAGGACCAGGGGGCTACTGAAATATTATAGTGGGTCTTTGCCAATGTACATTGGTAAATTCTGGCTCCTTCTCAAGCTCAGGTTAGCCACCCCAGTCTAACTCAAAAGTAATTAAATGACCACCATCTACGCTCTTCCAAGAAGAGAAGGAAATTATTACTGACTTGCAAGATGGTTCCTATTTTTTTATTTGTGGAAGTTTCTTTAGGTTCCAAACAAATGATGTTGAAAGAAGGAGTCTGATGTATGGTGAGAGATCTTTATTAAAATTCAGAGGAACAGCCGTGTTAGTCTGTATTCGCAAAAAGAAAAGGAGTACTTGTGGCACCTTAGAGACTAACCAATTTATTTGAGCATGAGCTTTCGTGAGCATCTGATGAAGTGAGCTGTAGCTCACGAAAGCTCATGCTCAAATAAATTGGTTAGTCTCCAAGGTGCCACAAGTACTCCTTTTCTTTTTATTAAAATTGTTTCCTATGGGTGATGTAACCAGAGTGTACTTTCTAACACTCTAATCAAACTGAATTAGTATGCAGATGGAAAGTATAAGATTACAAAGACCAGCTTTATTTGTTGAGGACTGTCATTTAAGATCTCCAATTACCCATATTTTGGTTATGCTTTTACAGATTAAAGTGATAGCTTGTTATATTGGAATTAAGCAAGGAGAGACACGTTACAAAACTCTCTTTAGCTCTGAGCCAGAAGAGGACAGTTAGCTCTGTATCTAGAAGTCCAGCAAATGCCTCAATTCAGGGACTTAAGCACATGCCTTCAGAAAGTCAGTGTGACTACAGTACCCACATATTTAGAGTTAGGAACATACTTAAGTACCTTGCTGAACTGAGGCTTAAGTTTATAGCACTTTTCAGTCACCTTTTAAGAGTAATATATTAATTTTTACATTTGATTTTTAAAAAGACTGGAGGAGAAACCTTATGTTTAAAAAAAACAACACTAACTTTTGATTCTGTTGCTTTTAAGGCGCACACACG